AGTAGTTTCACATTTTCATTATTATATCTTTATTTTCAGTTTGTTCTCGTCACATTCGATGACAATATAAATCATATAAATATTGAAACCTACAGAAATATATTATACAATCGTCAAAATTCAGACCATTGCTCATCTGGCTTTACCTTTTACATTAATCATGAATACAATAATTATGTATTCACAAATGAACTGTATAACCAAGGCTTTGAGATTGCACTACACTCAATCAGCCATCAAGAACCAACCACTTATTGGGAAGAAGCTACGTTAGAAATTATGGAGAGAGAATTTGCAGACCAGAAAGGACAAATGGCACACTTCGCAAATATTCCCTACAACAGTATAGATGGTTGGTACCAATTTTTGTACAGTTTTATTTAGTTTGCTATATTTGCTGATATTGTTTTTTTTAGAAGAAATTTAATAGTTGAATTTGTACTCCCTTCCTGTTAACAAATCGATCTTAAGATCTGGTACATATCTTTATTTATTGCATATATTCAAGTATATTACCATTGAAATGATGACAATATACTTGAATATATTCACTACCTTTGGAAATCAAAAATAGCCGCATTAAAAATTGCCGTCAATACATATATTTAAAAATTGTTAATAAAGGGGCTTGGCTAGTAAAATGCAGTGCACCATAAATATTCCATATGTATCTAAGAATATTAACAGTTCAAAATATTTAACAGAAATAAAAACTAAAAACACGTAAATAAATGAAGCAAAACAAAATTATTCTTATGTTAATAGAGAAGAAAATGTTATACTTACTTTTAAACATTTCTCAGGTATGCGCATTCCCTTCCTCCAATTGGGAGGCAATACCAGTTATCAAATGATTGCTGATCACGGTTTACTTTACGATCACACCTGGCTTACTATCGCCAATATTGATCCTGGTATGTGGCCATACACTCTGGATTATGCGTCAACCCAAGATTGTGTAATAGAACCGTGCCCTACGGCATCAATTCCTGGTGTTTGGGTGCTGCCTATGATTACATGGAGAGATTTAAATAACAGCCCATGCCCGATGGTTGACAATTGCCCAAATGCGTAAGTACTTTAACATCCAAAATAGAATAGGTATTAGAACAGGTGTTATCCTAAAAATAAAACCCGTAACCAACAGTATAATAAAACAGACAAATATACATAAAGCCGATCACAAATTAATGGGACTATGGGACCATTTGGCAATAGTTGTTCATGCACTGAATTTTCATTTAATGTTAGACATAGACCCCTATATAAATATACATAGTACATAAACTTGCTTTAAAAAAAAGGATTTCAATTGAGTTTCTTGCCAGTTCTTATCAATTGGATCTATATACCGAACTGGACGGTAGTCAAAAAAAAATAAAATTAGAATGTAAAAATTTGACGTTCATAAGCGGCTAAAATGTCCTACATGAATATATGATTTTTGACATTGATATTGATATTACATAAATATTATAATAATAGTAGTTATAAGGGCTGCAGAATGCTAATTTTCTTTTTAATTATGCATAAAAAATACATTAATTAATTATATTAAACAATATAAAAAAACATTACATACATTACACATGTTACACACACACGTGTAGAAGTATAGTATTTGACAACAAAACGTTAATAATTAAATATATAATTTAAATCAGTAATGGTCGAATTTCGAACATTGGGCGACCACCAGTATATTTCAATACATATATTTGCATAGAAAACACCTAGATGAATATGTTTGTATAGGTCAGTGTGTTTAAAAGACCAAGCCTTTTATACTTTGATTGATGAGATTGAGGTAGGTACCCACGCACACGACCTTTTACCGTCTACTTGGATATTCTTCTACGATGGTACTTCATAAGAATTCTTCGTAATGGTATCTTATCTTGATTTATATTCCACATGCAATTAATTAAGTCTGCCTACTTCATTGTATTATCTATAACTTAATCTAATTGTATGTTTAATACCTTAATTTTGTAAATTTACGTAGTTTTCTAGTTAAAAACAGAAAATAATTTCGTAAAAAAGAGCACAAGAGAGTTCCTTGCTCATTTTTCTCAGCATACTCATCTATACGAAGCTATAAAGTTGCAAAAATGAAATAGTAATATTATATTCAAAATATGAGTATAATATTAGTATTTCATATTAAAAATGCTTCAATATTTAATCTTTTAATAATATATTTTAGTTATTACATTTTTTTTCTTAAGGGTTTTAATGTTAGGTTCTTTATTGTATAATTAAGTTATGTATATATATCATATTCTATAATTTATTAATAAAGTTCTTGTTAATAATTATAGTTAGTATATGAAGTACATATAGTATAGAATATATGTAGTTCTATTTTTGAAGTTTTATTTTTAATCTTAAATATAATATTGAAGCAGTTTTTAATAAATAAATATTCAAACCTAGTTCAATGAAGTTTAGTTGAATTTTTATTATTCTATCCAGGCCTGCTCTTTTAATTAATAAATTATGTATATTTTAGTAAAAAATACTCCTATTCTATTTCATAACACAGGCCTGCTCTGACTGATGAAGAAGGATGGTTCCAGTTCATTTTAACTAACTTCGAGAGGCACTACCTGGGCAACCGAGCTCCATTCGGCTATTATATCCACGCGTGGTATCTCAGTGTCAATCCAGCTGTAGAGAGAGCACTTAACAGATTCCTGGATCTAATTAATAATCTCAATGACGCATTCTTGGTTAGTAACAAATTTAATATGCATAATTGTTAAGTAATAATATATATGATTAATAGATCAATTTACATAAATTATATATTTCAGGTCAACAGTCGTGATGTAATCGAGTGGGTAAAGAATCCTGTACCGGTGACTGAGTACAAAGAGCAACCATGCAACACTTTTGTACCAACTTCCTGCGCAGCACAATCTTGTGGACCCATACAAGCTGAACATAAGGTTTTATACACTTTCATTGTATACATAACTATAACTTCATTAAGAATATGAGGAGAGAGCTTCATGACAGGATCCTCACAGTCTCTGTAATTTTCTTTTGTAAATGGTATTTTCCGTCACCGGAGAGTGTTGCTCAATTTCGTTCCGACTACTTGCGAAGCACTTAGTTGCGGTAAATGCTGATAACTAGCTAACCCATACAAATATACATCTCGTCATGTCTGCAATTACGTATCTTCCCCGATCGACCCACGTTCAATTCCAACGTGGATCGAAATTACGACGCCCCTAGGTTCGAACACCTAGCTGTTTCCTCAGACTAAAGTCGTATCCGTCAGGCGGTAGTTGGCAATAGCCGCTTCATAAGTCCTACCTCGGATTAGAAATGCCATCGGCCCTATTGTCCAGTGAAGCTCTAAAGGCTAGCCTTTAGAGCTTCACTAAGGCGCATTAGCAATAGTTGTAGTTTTGATGGACATAACGCTGAAATTGTTTTTATTATGTTAAGATTCCAATAAGTCTACTCTCTGAGAAATATTACTCTGAGAAATATGACTTGTTATCGGTATTTTCCAAAAAGATAGTATGATCTTTTGATTCCCGGATACAATAGTGAGTGTCACCCTGTTTTTTTCTCAACTTTTATGGTTTTTTGTTTCCAGGAGGGCTACGACTACTGGATGCAATCTTGTGCCCCATGCACCAGAGTATACCCATGGCTAGATAATCCTCTCGGCGTGTAAACGAGTATTAATTTCACTTATTTTTTATATACCTAATTAATATTTATTCAGATATGAAATATAGATATTAATAGTTTTTGCTTCTATAACTCTGGTCGGGTATTATATTCCTCCAAACGTAGAAAATTTTATTTTTTTGACTAGTATTTATTATTGTATTTACATTTCTTAATAAATATATATAAATGTGTTTTGTTTAAATGCTAATTCTGTTTTATGATTCTAACTAACCTAATAAATCAAGTTTTATTTGTAGTCATTATTATTTACAAAATATATCGGCCTTGATTTGATGTTTAATAGTCAGAATTACAAATAAAATGCTGCTACATATTATTTCATATACAATAGTATATTTATTATGAAAATTCGTCTGCCAAATAAAACATTTCTTAATGAACTACAAAAATACGCGAAATAAATTACGACCTAAAGGAATAAATACAAAATATGATATTGAATTTGATTCCATAACTTTTGAAAATCAAAATACTATGTCATTATTTGATAATCTATATATCTATATAAAATTAACTGAATAATAAAGTAGCTTCAATGACATGAAAATAAACCGATAAATTTGTTTATTTTGAAGAGTTATTGTAGAATATTTCAAAGATATATATCATAAAAACAATAACGTAATTAATCTGTCCAATTTAAAGTATTTAATTAAAAATCAATACATGACGATCAAATATTGAAAAGTATAATCCATATTATGATAAGATAACAAAATATCAATTCTAATACGAAATCAAGTACAGGATGAAACAAAAGTATAGAACTTATATCTTAAGGAACTTCGTTTAGACCATATCAGGTTAAGGACCTTATATATATAGATCAAAAATGGTCTAACAATTTTTAATTACATTTAATTGCACTGCAAAAGGATAAAATTAATAAACTTTTTAAGTTAGAAAGTATTGAAACAAAAAGCATGATGCAAAGATTTTGGGACTCACACAAAATGCGGCTTAAGTTGTGGTTTTGAAATATATAGTCAAAATTTGCCTCAGTTTTATAACAGATTAATAAAATCTATTTCTTAATGAAAAGCAATACACGCGTTAGACATTAGAACAATTTAAAAATAATCAATTAGATAATAGCAACTAACTAAAATCTTGAAGACATCGAGGTTTATCTATAGATAAGATACCTGAAATATTGTCTATTGGTGTGTTCACGAGAAAAAATATGATTTAAATACTAAACTAAAAGATAATGATAAATTAAATATAAATTGAATGGATGTGATAGTTGCTAGTCATTTCTTAATGAAAAGTCTGTGTGAGGAATAATGAAGTGGTGTGCAGTGATTTGTCTGGTGTTCGCATCGGTGGCTTGCAACGAGCTGCCTTTAGCTGAACCATGTAACGAACAACTATGTCAATTGCCAGATTGTAGATGTTCATCTACAGAGATTCCTGGAGGCTTGCAACCGAGAGATACACCACAGGTTTTATATCATTTTTGGAATATATTTATTTTATAGTAGTTTTGAATAATTTTTAAATTATATATTAGCTTAAATATTTTTGTACTTTCAATATTTCACTAAAAGTTCTGACACCAGGAAGCGGTATCAAACTGATATTTTTTAATTGTAGAAAATTTGAACTTTCTGTAAATTAATTTTGATGTTCCTTTCTTAGAAAAATGTATCTTATGGGTTAAACATTTTTAACAATAATAATTAAAAATTAATTAAAAATAATAATAGTAGAAGAGACAATCCTAGATAGCATTTCTGAAAGTACCTACAATTGAACTCAAATTTGAATTCTTAATCTGTGCTTAAAATATCTATATTCAACTATTTAAAAACAATAGTAGTTTTTTGACATATTTTCATTATTATGTCCTTATTTTCAGTTCGTTCTCGTCACATTCGATGACAATATAAATCACATAAATATTGAAACCTACAGAGATATATTATACAATCGCAGAAATTCTGACGGTTGCCTCTCAGGTTTTACCTTCTACATAAATCATGAATACAATAATTATGTATTCACCAATGAACTGTATAACCAAGGTTACGAAATCGCTCTACATTCAATCAGCCACCAGGAGCCAACCACTTATTGGGAAGAAGCCACAGTTGAATCTATGGTTAGAGAATTTGCAGACCAGAAAGGACAAATGGCGCACTTCGCAAATATTCCCTACAACACTCTACATGGTTAATACCTATTTTAATTTTATTAAACGGTTTTGTATTATAATCTATAGAAAAATTAAAGAAAGAAAAAGTATTTCTTCAATGCTTATGTGCGTACATACAAAAGAAACAAAAAAAATCAACAAAACTAACGTTCTATATGAAGCACCCAAATGGGGCCTTTTCTGTGCTTTATATATAACATTGGATTTGCACAGATTTTATATTCTATGCGAATATGCCACTAGTTAATAATGACACCCGATCAAAAAGAGTGTGTAATCTTTGACAACGCTGTTATAAAGATTTATATTTTATATATATTTTTTAGTTATTCTTTTGATTGAACATTCAACTAAAAATGTAACAGTTTGTGTGTACAAATAATAAGCGTTAGTATTTTACTCTTACGAATGTCGAATGAATAAAATAATAATAATAAAAATATCATAATAATAACTATATTCTGCACAAAATATTACATAATACACAGTACAACAGAGCCATTTGGGTAAAATATATATATTTATAAAATAGTTTCCAACAAACAATAGGTGATTTTATTTGTTATAATACAAATATCATAATAGAAAGTACTTATTGTATCGCGTTCTTTTAACAACGGGCCATCTGCTGTCTTTTGAATTATATTTTGTATAATATCTGCGCTTTCTTCATCAGGGAGTCAGTCAGAATTATATATTGGCATATATATTATTTTTGTTTGTATTGGCCAGATTTGATCTCACGACTTCTTGGGTGTACTTCAGGGCAGTAATCTATGTCACGTTAATGTAGAACAAAACATTATACATATTTGTTTTTTTCTCAGGTATGCGCATTCCCTTCCTCCAATTGGGAGGCAATTCCAGTTTCCAGATGATGGCTGAGGAAGGCATACTTTACGACCACACCTGGGTTACTATCGCCAATATCGATCCTGGTATGTGGCCATACACCCTGGATTATGCTTCAACCCAAGATTGCGTTATAGGACCATGCCCTAATGCATCAATTCCTGGAGTATGGGTGCTACCTATGATTACCTGGAGAGATTTGAATAATAGTCCATGCTCGATGGTGGACAACTGCCCGACAGCGTAAGTATTTTAATAGGCATATTTACTGTTAATTACATATATGGTAGAAATAGTGATAAAGTATGATGGTCGTAAGTGGTAAATGTATTTAACTTTTACTGAATATTATAGGTATAGGTAAATGTAAAATTGTATATATTTTGTAAAAAATGGACAATTTATAATTTATTATTCGATATAATACAAAACATAATTCTGTTCAAAAGTCCTTAATTCATGAATATTAATATTCTGTCCAGGCCTGACCTTACTGATGAAGAAGGATGGTTCCAGTTCATTTTAACTAACTTCGAGAGGCACTACTTGGGCAACCGAGCTCCATTCGGTTATTACATCCACGCGTGGTATCTCAGCGTCAATCCAGCTGTGGAGAGAGCTCTATACAGATTCCTGGATCTAATTAATAATCTCAATGACGCATTCTTGGTTGGTAACAAATTTAATATGCATAGTTATTAATTAATAATGTACATGATTAAGAGATCAATTTACATAAATTATATATTTCAGGTCAACAGTCGTGATGTAATTGACTGGGTAAAGAATCCTGTACCGGTGCCCGAGTACAGACAGCAACCATGCAACACCTTTGTACCGACTTCTTGCGCAGCACAATCTTGTGGGCCCATACAAGCTGAACATAAGGTTGTACTAGATAAATAAATTTTCTCACTAACGTCAACCCATATGAATTAATCCGAGACTTTATCAACTGTTGAAGTTGTGATAAACTCAACATTTGATATATCCATAATGAAAGATGGATAAAAAATTCTTCCGTTGAATCTCTGTATATTATTTTGTTATTTGTGTTTTCCACCAGAGAGTTAGTCAAAATTTAAATTGAAAAACATTTTTTGATTTTATTCGAGCTCATGACCTTTGAGGTCTATATATGTATACATATAGATCGAAATAGATAAAGAAAACTATTCCATTCGTATTTCTTTTATTCGGATACTATAGTGTGTCTATAATATATATATAGCCACATAATTTAAAAACAAGTGATTATGAATGGAATCGATTATATTAGCAAATCAGATGTCATGATTAGCTTTGTCATTATCTCTAGATAATAGTAATATAACAACTAACAGTTTATGTCATATTACAATAGAATTAATGTCTTTTTAAATTTTTATTTTTTTCTATTCTCAGGAGGACTACGACTACTGGATGCAATCTTGTGCCCCATGCACCAGAGTATACCCATGGCTTGGCAATCCTCTCGGCGTGTAAACGAGTTACATTATAATTAGTTTTATATAGAAATAATATGATGAATAAATTATTTGGACTTAAAATTTAATCCTATTCAATAACATTGTAAACATAACTTTTTTTCATCAAATATTTACGTTACTATTAATATTATTAATTATAAACTGAAATTATTTATTAAGTGTTTTATTTCTATATGATTCTAAATAGTCGTTGTTCCAATTGTTAATAACATCATCATCATCATTTCTGGCAAATGTTTTTCAGAATGTGTTGATTGCGATGATGAATAATAAAGACGAACACGGTGCGTTTTATTTATCACTTTCTGTTATGAAAGTATTTGACGTTAATATTTGATCACCACATGAAATAATTTTGAAATAACGTCTTATTGTGTCAATTCGATTCACCTACCTATGTGACTAATTTATACAAAATCTATTAGAATAAGTAATTTGTAATAAAATAATAAATGCACAAATTTTAACAGACAGGCTCAAAACTGATCAAAAAATCAAAAAATGATCCTGAATTTTTTTTAATATATATAATAATTATTAATTTAATACATTTAAGGTTAATATAGAAACTTACGTGGTAAACAAAAAGGAAAGAATTAAATTAAATTTTATCTAAAACGTATACTTAACGTAACTAAATAAACTAAGTATTGTAGTAATTTCAATACGTAACGTGAAATCTACAAAAATAGTTATTTTGATTGAATTGTAGAATATTCAAAAGATATATATCACAACACAATAACATTGTTAATCGCTGCAATGTATAGACTATAATTCTAAATCAATACATTAAGATTAAAAATTAAAGACTATGGATTAATCCATGCTGTCATTGTGATTAGATAATGAAATATCTATTGTAATACGAAATCAAACACAGGACGTACTCAATAAAGATACAAAATCTTTTTTTATATGTACTTTTTTGATTATATTTTTTTTTAGTTCTACCGCACTTTTAGAGCGTAGGTTTAGTCAAGGAGAAAACGGAAAAACAAATGTTAATTGTTTAACATTTGTTTTTCCGTTTTCTCCTTGACTTTTTTAAATATTTTATTTGAATACAAACTATAGAAAACCACGCATAATAGTCAAAATGCATAGACAATAATTTTATTTTACTTGCTATAACATCTGTGATGTTCCTATTGTGCAGATAGAAACACTGCAACCTCAGAGTCATTACATAACCAAAATAATGCATAAATTTAAATGGCACTGATAGCTTTGTCCTAAAGACGACGATTAGATTATCTGCTTTTAATTTGTCCCTCTTGAATTACATTTGTAATCTTCAAATCCAATATCCGACCCACACGTTCACGTTCATGTATGGAGCTGGAAGAGGATTTCAAAGATAATGTACGAAAATAAAAACGCAATGTAGCGTTAAGCTGTGTTAATTTAATTTGTTTTTCTTTATTACTTTTATGGCATTAAATATATTTGTTAGCTGCCAGTTACAACTATGTATATTTTTATGCATAATTGTACACTTATAACATATAATTATATAAGTATGTATACCTGTGTCACTTCAGCTATCACCTACATTAATTACTATCTACATTGAATCAGAAAATCATTTAAGAGATAAGATAATTAAAAAAATTATCACTTTAAAAAAGGCTTGGTCAAGGAAATAAAATCAATACGTTCTTTTATACATACTATGTTATAACTAAGTCATTAATCCTACATTAAATAATATATCAGTTATAATATATATTTCTTCATCCATGGCTTGGTTAATTATTTTTGACGACATTTAATCTCATATCCAATATTCTATTTTATCACAAAACTAGATATTGATAAAATAACTGATATGTGTTAATTCTTAAATTAAATATTTTGAACGCCACAGTCGCATTCTCGAACATAAACTTTTTCATAGTTAAAAAGTAAATTTAAATTTTCTTTTTTTAAATATAAGTTAAAAAACTTTAAATGTAATATTACAGAAAAGAATATTATCCCAAATTTGGATATAGTAGACAAATCAGATAAATCACAGATAATCCTAATTAGCATTATAAACGTGAAATAAGTTACGATTTGGCGCTGAATAGATTATGAATAATTTTGATATAGACATAACAAGGCGGATGAAACCCGGTGAAGGGTTTCTTTTGTTTTTTCAAGAAAAGCTTAAAGAGATTATGTAAGGGTTCATGAAACTTTTTAAAGCGTAATCATTGTTAATTGGTTTTCTCAAAATTTATTTAAAAGGTGTGAAATCGAATTATTATAATAATATATTTACGTAATTATCATTAATATGAACGAAGTCACGGGTAAATTAATAGAAACATGAAGACGTCGCGCTAATCTATAGATAAGATATTTTAAATTTTTTATTGATGTAGTCATGAGAAAAAGATAAATAAAATATAAATTGATTGAATGCAATAGTTGTCGGCCATTTCCTAATGAGAAGTCTGTGTGAGGAATAATGAAGTGGTGTGCAGTGATTTGTCTGTTGTTCGCATTGGTGGCTTGCGATGAGCTGCCTTTAGCTGAACCATGCAACGAAGAATTATGTCAGTTGCCTGATTGTAGATGTTCATCTACAGATATTCCTGGAGGACTACAAGCGAGAGATACACCACAGGTATTGTATTACTGATGTCATATTTCCCTTCACTTCAATTATATCATTATAATTCGTAGAAATATTAATCTGTACAAATATCGTATAGAAAGTGTATGATGTTAATTGGCATTGATATTGGTTGACACTGTAAAGAGATTTAAAACTCACAAAATTATTTGCAAAACCTGAACTCACTTTCATTACTATTAACATATGTTTTTTTTTTAATGAAATCAATACTCCTATAATAAAATAGTAGTTTGGATCGAATATCTAACAAGTTTGGATGCTTATTTGACTCTCTTTAGAGACAACTAATGTGTTTGTATACATTCTCATTATATTTTTTTATTTTCAGTTCGTTCTTGTTACCGTCGATGACAATATAAATATCTTAAATATTGTTACCTATAGAGAAATATTTTACAACCGTCAAAATTCCAACAGCTGTCCATCTGGTGTAACATTCTACATTAATCATGAATACAATAATTACGTATTCGTTAACGAACTATACAATCAAGGCTTTGAGATCGCTCTACATTCAATCACTCACCAGTTGCCAGTAACTTACTGGAAAGAAGCCACGGAGGAAGTTATGGCGCGAGAATTTGGAGACCAGAAAAGCCAAATGTCACACTTCGCAAATATTCCATACGAAAGTATAAATGGTAATATAAACTGAATATTTTCTAAAAGAGTGAACGCTATTATTTGTTATAGAAAATTTAATTGAATACTCGTAAAATACTAACTGTTCATTACAGCATTATTTTTAAGTTCTATATCTACATCAACTGTAGAAGAATTTTGGAATCTTTTATAGACGACGCGATTGTAAGATGTGAATGTAAATTAAAATTTTAAATGTAATCTTAATCAGGACAAAACTTTTTATTAATTGACAGACTTTAACACAATTTAAAACATCGGCCAAGACAATGTACTATACAATGCTTGTAACAATGCGGCTCTATATAACTGAATAATAACATAGATCACAAAATAGTATTGTATACATTATTACATATATAAATTAGAAATACTTACAGGTTTACTTTCAAAGCAAGCATCGATTAAGAAAAGAATTTTTGAAAATTGGACCTTAAGTACACCATGCGTGCAAATTCAAGCCTAAAAATAGCTCTCATTTTATAGTATTGTAATACAGATTTTCCTGTTATGGTAGAAAATAATGTTATATGTATATTTGTTCTTATACTATCAATCCAAGTATTTATTCCTATTTCTCTACAATGCTTAGGTATGCGCGTTCCTTTCCTGGAACTGGGAGGCAACTCAACTTACCAAGCGGTTGCTAATCATGGCTTGCTTTATGACCATACTCGAGTTACAATTGAAAATGTAGACCCCGGTATGTGGCCGTACACTCTGGATTACGCTTCAACACAAGACTGTGTCATAGAACCGTGCCCTACAGCATCAATTCCTGGTGCATGGGTGTTACCTATGATTACCTGGACAGATACAGCTGGCAATCCATGTGCAATGGTTGATGACTGTAGCCAACCGTGAGTATTTTAGGGTAATATTTTTTTTATGTAATGTGAGTGGTAAACTAGCTAACGGCTCGCCTTTGGTAAGTGATATTATAATCTTATATGTACATAAACTACACTACGAATATAGTTTTTTTGTGGATGATAATGGTATAGTGCACTAACGGTTTACACTGGCAGGGCACCAGTGGAGGATGATAAGATTAGCCCATAGTGACAAATTCACCAGGAATTTATCACGTTGGTTTCCATGGGGAACCGCTTGGAGGTTAATCTGACATGGTACATTGCTAGTAATGGGGTCATGAGTCCACATTACTAGTAACTCCTCCCCCCTTACGAATATAGTTACCACGTGACACAAGCGGTACCACTTATGCGCTGCCATTCCCAAACACTAAGATGTAATATTCTTATTATTGAACTGATATAGTTTACAAAGCCTATTGCTTGGCGGCTGAAATAGCTAAGACAGCGTAAGCACACAAGTTTGAATCTTACTCTTAATGAAAGTTGGTAAGGATATGTGAAACTCTTCATTGGCCGTAACTGAACTATTCTCTAAAAAGATCGTAACATCTCTAAATATGGGAAGAGTGAACTTTTGCCCTAATTCTGTATTAACACATATGTTTTTTTAATTGAAATCGTAATAAAAATATAACTTACCCATTTTACACGGCAAAATCTATAATTCAGTGGCGATAGAGTAGCAAAAAATACTGAGCACCAAAATACAACCAAAAGCACTTCAGTTTACTTTTAATGATATTCATCCCTATTGTGTTTTATAATTCAGCCCTCCTGTTACTGATGAAGAAGCGTGGTTCCGAATGATTGTATATAATTTCGAGAGGCATTACTTGGGTACACGAGCTCCATTCGGTGTTTACATCCACGAGTGGTATCTTAGAATCCATCCAGCTGTGAAAAGAGCAATCGAAAGATTCATGGATCTAGTTAATAATCTAGATGACGCCTTTATGGTTTGTAATAAATTTAAATATATTCTTTATTAGATGTACCCGCGATTTAACCCGCCTGAAAATTATAGCATATAATATGTTATTCTGATTCATAGCTTATACATCAGAATTTATGTAAGTTTTTCATTTTGAATTACTGTACAGTTCATCAAAATCCGTTTAGTAGTTTATACGTGAAAGAGTAATAGACATCCATCCATACTCACAAAATATTAATAAGATTACACTTTTAAATATAAAAATTAAAATTAGAAACATTGTTAGGAAAAAAAGCTTATCTCTAAAAGAGATCTCACCCAGTTAACCGCTAACAACATGACACAGGATGTATATACATGAGTCACAGAAGTGCAAATAATAAATTTAACAAAAGACAATATAATTAAAAGTAATACAACATTTAGATAATAATTCATATTAATTATATGTTTCAGGTTAACAGTCGTGATGTAATCGAGTGGGTAAAGAATCCTGTAAATTTAACCGAGTATAGACAACAACCGTGCAAAACTTTCGTTCCGACTACTTGCGCGCGACAAAATTGCGGACCCTTAGATGCAGAAGAGCATCAGGTTGTTAATGACATACAATTATTTAAAATTATTCGTAGATATAAGCCTTCATGACATTATTCGCAGATGAGTAAGCCGGAGGCATTGTCGACATTTGTCGTTGTGGTGAACATAACACTTAACATGTCTACATTTCTCTGAATAAAACCCCAACGATGAGGTCAAGCTCATAGCTATCATTAGATTGACTTTGGTTATTAACGTAAACTGTAGTTGTGAACACCTTCAAGGTGAGGTACAGATTGGAGGACTAAGTCCTTAGGCCGATGTTGCATTTCAAATGTTTTTTAACATTATCTGAATCGACGTCAACCTTTCTAATATATCTAATCAAACACTATATTTTTATATGATTTGTATATTGACATCCCAGAAGGTGTAGTACGTGATAGTATCATTATATTAAAGTTATATGAAGGAATTTAAAATAATTATATAATTTTTAAAACGATTGTATTCTTTATATTGTTCTTCAGATATATACATAATATTTTTTTTATTTTTGTAGGTACCTACTTGAATTATAAAAATAGACGCTTATCAACAATTCTTATCGTCAAATAATTATATTTTAATGCAACGCATCAAATTGCAGAATTACTATATATATTATTCATCAATCAATTCCAAATTCTCAACACTAATATGTAGTGATATATTAATCCCTCTCAATAAGTATTAGATACTATAATACTATAAACAGTGTGTCCGTCTGTCTTGTCGTTACCGTTTCACAACTACGTACGACAGTATTATTGAGTGAATTACTGCGACGTAACATGTCACTGGAGTAATTTAAACATACGTTTTTAACACAGAATAGAGAATTATTAGCCCTTACTTCTCTATTAGTATTTTATACCTTACTAACTAGATTACCTTCTACTAGATTAACTAGATTACTAACTAGACTACCTTCCAGATTTCGCTCAGTTATACATGGATTATACATATAAACCGTTCTCTTCAATAACTTTATCTATCGCTCAAAATTTCATTAAAATCCGTTGCGTAGTTTAAAAAGATGTAAAAATTTAGTTCTAGCATTATTTTTCTATTTTCAGCCGGGCTACAGTTACTGGATGGAAGCTTGCGTCTCATGCCCCAGAGTATACCCATGGCTTAACAATCCTTTAGGCTTGTAAAGGAGTATTAATTTAAGTTACTTTATCATTAATTGATTATAGAAATTATAATCATTGTAATTGTAATATTTTTACTGTAATTATATGAAATTATATGAAATGTATATTTTATTCCATTCCTGAGTAAAGGTGAGTTTGACTTTAAGTTGTTTAATATTTTTATTAGGATTATTAATAATATTTTCTTTATTTCGTAGAGAAAAATATTTACAAAAGGAAAACTTTACATAAATTTGCTAAACAAAAGACGAACTTAAAACAAACAAAACTTTTAAAGAAAACCTTAATTTTATACTTTATTGTCATCACTACATACTACTATATTGAATTATATTACTTTGCGGAAAGCATAATTGTAGCCTGTACCGAATTTTTGTGAAGATTGTACTATACATACTTATTGCGAATACAGATAGCACTCCAAACTCGTAGAAGGACTTATGGAAGCTGAAAGCCAACTCCAGCCTGACCGATACAACTTAAGTTCGAGGGCACCGCTACTGGTTCGAACCTTAGCTCAGGCCATCGTAATTCCGATCCTCGTTTGAATTCGGTAGATTGATAGGAGGAGCGACCGGGCCACCGGTGTGGAGCGCCGGGGTCTGTGTAGACTCCTGATTGATTGCCCCGTACGGAATGGTTGAGGTCGTCGTCTTCGTCGGCGAGGACGATCTCGTGTGTGTTGGAAAACATAGTAGGGAAGGAACGGATGGACTTGAAGGGAGAATATCTGCTGATAAGAGTTCATCGGCATCAATATGAACATGTATAAAGTCGTCTGCGTCGACGTGTATAAACCTATTTCAGTGACCAAACAGCTAGCTTTGAATTGGAGAGTGAGATATAGCAGTGTACATGACTGCAAGGTACAGAATTAAAGAAAGGACCATAACGTCGTAATCCTCTGGAATAGCAGCGAAATCGTAAACTTCACTATTTTTGTATTGATATTTTTCTCAGATTTCTTTATGCCTATATGTTGCCGTCTTAATAAGAATTATTTCTTATTTCTTTATTAATATAATATATACTTTATTAATATAAAAATAGAGTTCACCAATCCCTACAAATTTACTAGTACTAGTAGGTACTAGATAATCCAATAAAATACAATTGTGAAATTGAGTTTGTATGTATGCTTGGGTTGGTATATCGTTAAATCGATTCTGATTAGTTTTTATATAGAGCACTATAGAATCGATTGTAGGCCACTATTTTTTCTCGATATCTTATAAGAATTCCGTGAGATAAGGTATAATTGAAGTATGGAACTGTTTTAGGCACCGGTTCTGCTGCTTTTAACTTTACAGAATTATTTTGACATTGTGCTAATCTACTGATAAGATAAGTTAATTCCTGTTTATTAATGAGTTAACGAGAAAAATGTGATTGAAAAAATAAAAGATAATGATAAATTAAATATAAATTGATTGAATGCAATAGTTTACGCCCATTTCCTAATGAATAGTCTGTGTGAGGAATAATGAAGTGGTGTGCAGTGATTTGCCTGTTGTTCGCATCGGTGGCTTGCAACGAGCTGCCTTTAGCTGAACCATGTAACGAAGATTTGTGTAAATTGCCTAATTGCAAGTGTTCATCTACAGACATTCCTGGAGGTCTGCAACCGAGAGACACACCACAGGTAATATATTATTTATCAGATATATTTCTTTACATCAATTGGAATCTTATATTATTGATGACATATATTACTTCACTTAAATTGTTATTCAATTATAATAAATTATATGCATATTTGACTGCGTAAATATTCTATTAAAATAAGTAAGTAGAAGTAAGTCATTTATTTGCATTGCCGACAGACATACGCCTTTTCTTAGTACATATTTTTTATTAATATGCTAACAATTAAAGGCATTAATAGTTATATTTGATGTACGTCAATTTCATGTTATTATTGACACATTTACGATTGTTATTATTATCATCATCATGATCATAACAATTATTATTCTTATTTTTCAGGACATTTTATTTTTATTTACCATTTAAATAATCGTCTACAGAGCAGAAACAGTACAGTGACAGGCATTTAGCCGATTTATTTTCTAAATTATATTCTGTTAATGCGATGAAATCCTTTTAATATCTTGTGTACGGTGTAAAATGAATATTTTCCAATAGTGTAAACTGGCAGATTATTAAACCGTAGCGTAGCATTGATTATATGTATACAGCCTCAAAATACATTACCTGCTATCTGGACTGATGCAATCTGTCTCAGTTAAAGTAAAAGGATATTATAGTAAAGTAAATAATTAAAGATAGTTAATTATTAAATAATTAAAGTAAAGAACATAATAATTATTTAGCTACAATATCATGGAAGTCTGTTCCAACCCAAGCCTGGATGTTTATTGTAATTTATTATACTTAGTATTTCTTTTTTTTCAGTTCATTCTCCTTACTGTAGATGACAATATAAATGCTGATAATATTCCTACCTACAGGGAAATTTTTTACAACCGTCGTAATTCGGACGGCTGTTTATCTGGTGTAACATTCTACATTAATCATGAATATAATAATTACGTACTCGTTAATGAACTGTACAATCGGGGTTACGAGATCGGTCTACACTCAATTAGTCATCAGTTACCAATATCTTACTGGACATGGGCTACAGCTGAAGTTAAGGCGAGAGAATTTGGAGATCAGATAGGCCAAATGGCATACTTCGCAAACATTCCCTATGAAACTCTAAATGGTAATTATCTCTTTTAATTCAATTGAATCTGAATGAAAACTCTTCATTGTTTCTCTCGCAGAATTCTATTATTATTAGAATTCTATTATTATTTAGAATCTTTTATTTACAAGGTTCTAAAGCATTTATTTATGATAAATTATATAAAAATACTTGTATAACACCGACTGTTTACCACAATTCATACCCATGCTATTATGTTATCTCTTATATCTACAACTATAAAAGAATTTAGAAAATTTCAAATTCTTTTAGAGTTGTACATATGAAAATCATGTGCTGCGCTTGTTGGGACTGGTCTGCTCTTTACTGAAACTGACTTAATCTTATTGTGTATATAGAATTTTGATCCTAATTTTATGTTAGTTTGTATTCACACATTTAGACTTATAAATGTAAAGCTACAACGATTATTTAAAATAGCAACACGTAAGTTTCTTACTTGTTCTTCTTGTGATAAGACAGCTTTCCGAATGAGCGGTAAATTAAGAAAAAATAACTATTCTTAATTACTATTCTTGCTTATTCTATTCTATTCTGTACTGTACAGGTATGCGCGTTCCTTTTCTGGAATTGGGAGGTAACTCCACTTCTGAGGCCGTTGTTAATCACGGTTTACTGTATGATCACACTCGAGGTACAATAGAAAATATCGACCCTGGCATGTGGCCATATACTTCTGATTACGCTTCAACACAGGACTGTGTTATACATCCGTGCCCTACAGCATCAATTCCTGGTGCGTGGGTGTTACCTATGCTTACTTGGATAGATGCAGGTGGTCATGCATGTGCAATGATTGACAACTGCCTGGAACCGTAAGTATTTTAATGTAGTAATCGATTTAGGGTTGTGGGTTTCTGATTGTGAAATAAAGAGGGAAAAAAAATTCGCCTACATACATTAACACAATGGACAATATATTACAGTATTAGCTAATTCCGAAGGTCTAAGGTGGCACTCCTGTAATTTCGCTGCCGTATTGAGATATGGCTAAGCCAGAGGATGAGTCCTTCACTTAAAGCATTGCTTACAAAGAAAGCAGCTTGGTGGCCGAAATATGTGCTACGACTTTATACGAAGTCTACCTTATGATACGGATACCTTACGATGACGGATAATTAAGATTAGAAGGGAATTATGAATGCCTTATCAGGTCAACTTCCACAACCGCAATAAACCAGGTCATCAATTTATAGTTTCGATGTCTCTTAAGTACAATAAGTAAGTTATTTTATTTCTTCATAACGATAAAACCAGTTTATGATAGTTTTTGAAAGTTCCTATGACATCATTCGGAAAATATTTATTGTAAAATTATTTCATATATTCGAAAATCTGCTGAAGAAATAAATAACGGTTTATCCAATCTTTTCGATAAAATTGTGGCGAATTTTTTTTTGTAATTTTTATTGTCAGGTGATAAAATCTGTAACACTGCGACCTGTATAGATATATTGTGTATGAGATGTATGAGACTATTGTCTCGCCTTTATTTCCAAAGTTCACTAACTACATCCGTGAGGGACAAGAATTGAAGAAGAAATATTCTTAGAAGAATATTTCTTCTTCTTTCTAAGAAGAAGAAATATTCTTAGAAGCGATGATTTTTGTCTCCTTAGGATACAGTGTATACTTTTCAAAGAAGATATTTCGTTTACGTATGAGAGGTCTATAACCACATAGGATGTCAAGTAGCGTTTCCTTTTCCGCTTGCAAAATCTGCAGATTGATGTTAAACTAAGCCCTAATTTTGCCATGTTAAAGCGTGTGGCGAATAACAAAAAGCTATTCAGCAGTTGAGTTTATTTGAATAAAAATTATTGCTATTGTATTTTATGATCCAGGCCTCCTGTTACTGATGAAGAAGCATGGTTCCAGATGATTTTACGTAACTTCGAGAGGCATTACTTGGGTACCCGAGCACCATTCGGTGTTTATACCCACGAATGGTATATCAGAGCCAATCCAGCTGTGAAAAGAGCTATTGAAAGGTTCATGGATCTAGTTAATAATCTAGAGGACGCTTTTATGGTTTGTAATAAATTTAAACATAATCTTTATAGCACTTTTAAATATAAAAATTTAAATAAATATTAGAAATATTGTTGCGAAAAAAACTTATACTTAAACTATACTTTTTAGAGATCTCTTCCAGTTAGTCATTAACAACGTGACACAGCCTGTACTGTGTGAGTCACAGAAGTGCAATTAATAAATGTAAGAAAAGATAGTATATTGGGCAATGTATAATAATTAAGAGTAATATAACATTTACAGAATGATTCATTTTATTTATATGTTTCAGGTTAACAGTCGTGATGTAATTGAGTGGGTAAAAAATCCTTTAAATATTACCGAGTACAAACGACAACCTTGCAAAATTGTTGTTCCGACTACTTGCGTGCGACATCAATGTGGACCCTTGCAGTCTTACCATAGGGTAGTTAAAGATATATAATTATTTAAATTGACTCACACATACACATCATTTCATCATTAGTTTATTCGCAGATGAGGACGTCATAAAAGTTGTCAATAGTCGCCGTGGTGAACGCAACATTTAACATGTCTGCATTTTGCTGAATATTAAAATAATAATAATAATATCCCTGGTCAATTCACACAACGCCATCTAATCCTTAGCTAAGTAGAGTTAGTAGAGATGAATAACGAATAACTGACAGAAATTCTGAAATACATTCATTATACACATACCCAGACTAATACAAACAATCATACTTATTCTTCAGTATATAAAAATATTTCTCACATACCGGTCTCATATCGAGGTGTCGAACCCACGACCATTGGTGGTAAAGTAGACAAACGGTCGTCAATGCAAGATTAACTTGATTTTATTCTTCGACTTTATAATGGTCGGAATTTGATCACTATTGGAAAAGTAACGCTAGTCAAATTACGGCGCTAATAACGGAATTAAACAAAATAAATCTATTAAGTAGTGTAATGGATTTCAGCAAAATAACATCTAATTCGATAAAATATAGTGATAAGATTCGTGTAACTCACGTGTTCCCTGCTGCCGTCCGCTGTCTTGTATGGATTACAGTGCTGGCCCGTAAAAGCGACAGCTGAAAGACGACTGCATGCAATGCGAATTTGAGATGCATGTGTGGTGACAAATATGGATAAAATAAAGAATGGATACATGAAAATGGCGCCGGTGTCGGAGAAATTGAAGAGTAATGGTCTGTCGTAGTATGGGCATGTAATGCGTAGGAATGAAGATAATATTTTAAGGAAGGTGTTACATATGAATGTGGATGGTTATAAGAGAAGCGGAAGGCCGAAAAAGATTGATGGACTGTGAGAAAAATAATGTGGTAAGAAAGGAAGTAAATAAAGAGATGACTGCGATCAGGGATGAATGGAAAAGAAAAACATATTACGCGCACCCCCTGATAAATTGAGTAAAGAAAAAGTAGATGATGATGAGATGATAGTGATAAGGATTGGTCCACCTTTTATTTTTTTTTTGACAAGATCTTCGTTTAAATGTATTTATGATTCGGCATTAAAAATATATACAACCCTAAATTATCATCCTTCTACCAACAATATTTTTTGACATCGATATTAATTTATATGGTATAGTGATATTAGTTGACCCAGCGAACATTTTTTTGTTGCATCCGCAAGTATCTTTATATGAATAAAATTTACAAAATCGTTTTTTGAGGAAAATGTGCTCATAAATCTATTACTTTGATAATGTAACGTCTGATATTATTGTAGTCACGTAATTCCTATATAGGATAATGATCATTAAATCTTCGGATGTCTTGATTATATTTTTCCTTATCGACAAATAAATGAATTGTATATCAACATAGCGCCTAAAAATGTAGAATTACGATATCATATGTTTATTACACAACTTTAAAAATTACAAAGCTGGCTTGCAGTGGTTATCTGTTGTGATAATTTAATCCATACTAATATAATAAATGCGACAGTGTATCTGTTTGTTAGCTTTTCATGACTAAATGGCTGAAAGGATCTTCTATCCTGGAGTATTTTTACTTATTGCTTACTACCTAACAGATTCGCGTTCATCATATTTTCCCCATTTTTTTATTTTTCATTACAGCTCCAATCCTATTGGTCGTAGTTTCATGCATTATATATTATATAGCCTTCCTCTATTAATTGTCTATGTTACACTAAAAGAATTTTAAAACAGGATTAGTAGTAACGGAGATTACACCGAATCAACAAACTCACATCTTTACAGCTTTCTAATATTAGTATATATATATATTTATTAAATGAACACATTACTTCGACGTCAAATCTGATAGGAGTATTTAAACTATAACTTTATACCAGAGATTAGAGAATTTTTAGCTCTTACTTCTCTGTTCAGTGTTTTATACCTTATGAAGTGCTAGCGTTGTTTTTCTGTTTTCAGCCGGGCTACAACTACTGGATGGAAGCTTGCGTCCCATGTCCCAGAGTATACCCATGGCTTTATAATCCTTATGGCTTGTAAACGAGTATTAATTTTAGTTACGTTGTCATAAATTGATTATAGGAATTACACCTGTTTTGATTGAAATATTCTTATTATAAACATATTAAATAAGGACTTATTTGAATGTTTTATTTTTTTAATCCTGAGTAGCGTTGACTGTTAATTTAGTATGTTTGTTTAGTAAGCTGTATTATACTTTGAACGCAACCATAACATAATGTATGTAAATGTATATGTAGCCCGATGGAGTATAGGATAGGTATGATCAATATTGAAAAAATTATCGACATCAACATCGATCTATGTATAACTATCGATGTAGTACAAATGTCAATGTCATAAAACATAAATATTTTAGCTAAAATAAATTTGATAAACAATGTATTTTATTATTAAATATATTTATTGTTGCTGTAAAAGTAACCACAAAAGGAATAAACGTTTAGCCTCACTGGTAGGCTAAACGTTCTAGTTTTTAAAACCGCTAATGGTAGACTTTGTTATTTATTAATTCCTATTTTTGGCAATCACAATACCGGTGTAGTAGCTATGAGGTCTTATTTATTTAGACCGCTTGAATTATTTCATAGATCGATGTGTTGAAGTAATTAGGGACGTTAAGTATAGTGAGAATATATCGATGTTAAAACATCAATACGACTTTAAACACCGATATTTATGTATAACATTAATGAATATCGATTGTCGCAACACTAGAGAAATGACAAAAAATCACGACTTATATTAGTACAAAGCGTGAAATTGAATTAGTAAAATAACCACAAACCCATTACTTATATACTAAAGATAACGATAATCTTCTTTATATTTGTTATCTTAACAAATAACAAAATCGTATATAATATGTTTGTCTGTTTGTGTTTTCATAAAAACGGCTAAAGTATTCAGATATCGAAAACTGTAAAAATATTTACAGTTTTCGCAATATTTTGTTAAATAAGATTCAAATATGAGCTGAATGGAATGAAATAATGAATTTTGTGAATATTTTCAAAACCCGCTATTTTATATTTTTTTTATTAATTAATATATTAATGAAATAATAGATACTGTTATATTGAAATTTTATTTCTTTTGTTGTTGGACTATGATCAATTAAAGCGATGTCAGTACGAACTCACAGGCACCACTAGTTACAACAATTTACTTTTACTATTATATAATAATTTTATAGTCCATGAATGAACTACAAGTACCTTTTAAAATTGAAAAAAAGTGATAAAGACATGTTTATATATATACTAATTAATGACTACATATTAGAAAGTTTGTAGTCAAGGTATTAATTAGTATAAATCAGTTTTATAAGCAACCAAATTGGCCACCTCTCAGCCGTGCGCTGTACGCAGCTCTACACTGTATGAGTTGATTTTCAGTGGAACAAATAAAGGTGTACTATTGTGTGCGTGAATATTTTTCTAAATTTCTTCGTAGAAAGATATGTTACAAAGAAAAAGAAGATAGATAAATGAAAAAGGTACGATACCTTAGAAACAGTTGTTGAAAATTTAATAAATATCCCCAATATGGTTGCCAAGCAACTAATCCTAATATAGAACAATTATCTTATCTCTACTCGTACTTGGCCTTTAATAATATTAGGAAAAACCTCTATTTCATTGCGTTCTCTAATGTTACAGTAGTTGCTACATTTGTATTGAGTAGACCATTTGTGGACCCTGTTAGCCACAGCACAGAAGAGAGGACGACGACCTTACTGTTTGTTTTGTAATTGTAATGTTTAAACTGCAATATAAATTGGAAATATATTTTATAATAAAAAACTAAACCTTATAACCACCTTAGATGTAGTCTTAGGAAAGTAGCAGAAAGAATTTATTACATCCAGTATTAGTACTCCCAATTTGTTTTTGTGTATTATAATATGATCGGAATGCTTGGGTATATTTCTCAGCAGTATATTTTATATCAGTGAAATGACAAACAACCTGACGGCTCACCTGAATATAAGTACCTACTACTAGATATAATATATATTCATAAGATTCTTTATCGGCACCATTCCGGATATTGTCAGCGCAGACGGGTTAATAGCGATTTCTACTCAATTTGTATTTTCAATAATATTAAAAATTAAATCCTAGTAGAAACTTTAATAAAGAAAACATTCATAACAACGAAATTATTATTTATTGAGATAATAATCAAATCTAATAACAGATATTATAAATAGAATTGTTGAAACGGAAGGCTTAGCTTATCATTCGTAGCTCAATATAGGTACCTAATACTGGGTATTCTCCATGGGTATTCTTAGTGATTATTTGTGAGTCATTATACTGACCAAAAGAGCTAGTTCACAGACAACTATTATCTTAATAAGTGTGCTATGACTTCTTAATACGAAACGATTTTGTTGAGATAGAAGATGTAATCATAAGAAGAAAATTTTGATTTGTTAATCTTGAATTACATGTTTATAAAATTTTACGTAGAAAATTTCGTGTGCATATTAAAAATATAATAAAAAAGATTCGGACTGTCACCTACATTTATTCTGTACTTAAATTGGATATTGAACATCAGTAGAGAGATAAGATATGCTCGTAATATAAACAAAATATTATCAAATTAGGCTATAACAACTTAAGGGAATAAAATCAGTGAATTTATGTATACTGTTGTGTTCATTCATTCATAAACTTAAGAGCGACGCTCTTGTCGGTGGAGCTCTTGCCACCCTCTACGATCTTCCATCATACTCTTTAAGCTTTGATACGACACGACTCCAATTCTGTCTTTGATTTGTTTGCTGTAACTGTGCCTTGGTCCGCCTCTTTCCTTCTATCTTTCCCTCAATAATTAGTTTCAAACATTCATCGTGCCGTATCAAGTTCCCTAACATTTTTCATCTTCTACTTTCTGTAGCATCCAATATCTGCCTTTTTTTTCACCCTGTGCAAAACTTCTTCATTTCTTACTTTATCTTTCCAGCTAATTCTTTCCATCCTTCACCAGGACCACATATCAAAAGCTTCCAGTTTGTCTTTCTTTTTGAGTTAATGTCCATGTTTCAGATGCATACAAAGCTATACACCAGTTATAGGTCTTAATAAATCTTTTCCATGAGTTCTTGGATATCTTAACATGTAAAAGGTATTTTTGTTATTAAATACTTTTTTTGCCATAGCTATTCTTGTTGTAATAACCGTGGTACATCTGAAGTACAACTGAGCCTGGTGATTAAACTGCTTAAATATTTGGATGAGTCTACCTGATCGATCTGTGTTTTATTAATTTTTGAATTTGATTTATTACGGGGCTTAACTTTTGTTATTCTCATTGTTTTCGTTTTATTTATATTAATGTTGAGTCCATATTTTTTTAAAGTTGTACTCATAATTTCTAATAGTACTTGTAGCTGTGTGTAGTTTTCTGCTAATGTAGCTATATCGTCAACAAATATAATGAACTGTATCCTTTGACCATTTATTTTAATTCCCCCTTGGTTTAATTCTACTGTTTCCTTTATTGCAGCTTCTATAAAAATATTGAATATAAATGGTGAGAGTGGACAGCCCTGCCGTATTCATTGCTTAATTTTTGCAGTTTCCTTTTCTTCTCCTATCTCTATTATGGTTTCTTTATTATATTAAATTATTATTATAAAGTCAATTTGGTATCTTCCAATATCTCCTGGCATCTTCCAAGTGTATGAATTTACCTAAGTGTTTTTGGCTGTTTAAAGAAGTGTTCCCAATAAACATATCATTTTCCTTACAGAACTATATTAATCTATCCCCTCTGAAGTTTTTGACCCCATGACCAAATTTACCAACTGTTCCTTCCCCAACCACTGCGTTGAAATCACCCATGACTATCAAATAATCATTTTTATTAACTGTATCTATTATTTTGTCAATTTGGTTATATATATCTTCCATTTCTTCATCCGGATAACCACCAGTGGGCACATAAACTTGTATAATTATTAAATTAGTTGTATCTGCTTTTATTTTAACTGATGTTATTCCATCGCTACGGTGCTATTTTCCACCAATTTACCCCATTTTCTCCTCCCGTATATATTATTTTATTATTCTCCTTCCAGTAATCTCCGCTGCCTTCCCATCTAACCTCACATAATCCCAGAATGTCTATCTTTTTATCTATTCTTTTCCTCTAATACTTCATTCAGTTTTCCTGGTTTCAACGACGTCCTTACATTCCATGTGCTTATCTGGCAAGGATTTCGCTTAATGACGACCGGTTCAGCCTTGCTTCTGCCCCTGCCGGACTCAGACTGCCACGGCATATTACATCGTGGAAGCCCGTTGGCAAGAACTTTACTATTTTCTTTTTCCATTGCATTCGTGCTCCATTTATTAGGGATTTTTGTGTGGTAGTTTCCCCATTTGCCTTCCCCACCGTGGTTCACTGGCCGAGGGTGTTCGCCCGCTAATATCTGGTCAAAAGCCCTTCCTGAAATTATTTCTTCGGCCCTTTGCCAGTATTAACGTTTCCACTTCCAACGCTAGGGGAAGACCTATATAATGGCAGTCTTTATTCGCCATGTTACAACGTCGTCATTAGACTTTTGTGGTATTTTATAGAAAGATTCACCCCTATAACCTCCCACCACGTCCTAGTAATGCTGCCTCTGTTTGGTCGGGGACTGCTTATTCGACATATTCGCAGCTAACCATCATATCTGCCTTTCACTATCCGCCACCTGTGACCCCGTTGGTAGCCTACAGCTCGGCAGCAATTATATATACTACAGAGAGATAAAATATGCTCGTCATAAAAACAAAATATAAACAAAATATTATCAAATTAAGCATTATAAAATGAATTTATGTATACTATAGTGTAGTAACTATTATTTATGGTAAAAAAATGTACTAGAAGGTACCATACAAGGTGGGTAAAAAATAATTTAAAAACCAAATTATTTTTTGCCACTTTACCTTGTGCCGGACATTGTCCCTTTCGAGAGAACCTATTATATTATCTAATACTATTGCTTAATAAATAATGCTTTTTAAATTATGTAGTTTAATTTATTATTTTAAATAAATTGAATAAACAAAATAATGAAATAATTATTCCATTAAATTTCAATAGAATGCAGGAGCTTTTAGCAAACACTCAGCCCAGTCTAAAAGAGTAACCAGCCAAGCTCTGGATAGAAACATACAAGCTTTCTAATCTTCCTAGCTTCTTAGGGTATCCTTACTGTTCTGAAGTTTTGGGTACGATAGGAACGCATTGTTCTCCAGGATTGCAATTTGTTGACCGTTTCTTGTGCTTCAAGATAACCACGGCAAACATTCTTCTTCTTCAAGTATCTGTGGAACTTATTGTAACAACGTACGAGTTTGTTTGACTTAATGCTTAATTGTTTTTTAATTCTTGGTCGCATCTGTCGCCGGTGTCGTTTTACTAGCCGATACCGATATGTAATTAACTGAATACACGTAACGCCCGTCCTACCCTAAAAGAAACGAAGAATATCACTTAACCAACACATTATTATGATATATTTCTGACTGACTCTTCATTGAGAAACACGTACAAATCACATGCACTACAGAAAAATAACACCGAAATTAATAAAATGTAATATACACGTTATTTTCACTTTAGACTTTTAAAAAATGTGAATAATCTTCTTTCAGCTTACAATGGCCCAAACAAATGACGATAGACTAATATAAACGTAAATTGACAAGTACAAATAGATAAGTGTTTATTCCTGTATATAATATTTTAACATGTGTTATTTATAAACTATTACATGTATAATACCAAATAATTTGAAATTAGGAGGAAATCGAGCTTATCTTCAGATAAGATACCTTAAATCTTATTAGTTGCACTTCCAGTAATCATGATTTAATCACGAGAAAAAATATAATTTAAAAACAAAAATGGAAAGATAATGATAAATTAAATATAAAAGGCTCGGATGCGATAGTTGCTGGCCATTTCCTAATGAGAAGTCTGTGCGAGGAATAATGAAGTGGTGTGCAGTGATTTGTCTGTTGTTCGCATTGGTGGCTTGCGACGATCTGCCGTATGCTGAGCCATGTAACGAACAAACCTGTCAATTACCAGACTGTAGGTGCTCATCTACAGTAATTCCTGGAGGCCTGGAAGCTAGAGACACACCACAGGTATATAATATTCACGAAAATTTATTTACCGATGTACCGATGTAGATTTTGTAAAAATCATCAACATCAATCACTTCAGCCAAATAGCTTGCTTTATATGACGTGTTTTGGTGGTAGAGATATTACAGAGTAGGAAGGAACTAGTTTATTCCTCTGGATAGGCAACGACAGTTCGCGTATATATATAGGCAAGATACATGGAAAGCACCACGCTTTTCTTGTATATAGGCGACGAAAGCCGCTTACAATCGGATTCATAAAAAAACATGTAACGTGCTACATACACATTAATATTATTTTCTATTTTTAAAAAATATTTTTTTGTTGACAAAATAAAATAATAAAAATTACCTGTTAATACTATTAATACATAAAAATACTACAATGCAAATTTTATGCAGTAAGTTTACTACATTTCAATTTAATTTAAAAATTTATTGTGTTTATAACCGATTTTATTTAAGTAAAAACAAGCGAAATAAAAAAATGATTAGCATCGAATAATCGAAAATCGATTAATAGCTACTTAGTACTTCTTGAAGTCCAAGGAGGACTAAAGCATAGATTGTTATTGACACTTAAAATAATGTTTTTCTATCTAATAATACTCGTATCTATATCGTAAGATTTAAAGACGATAACAGTATTTTTGACACAGTTACATCATTGTGTGTTTATTTTCAGTTCGTTCTCGTCACCTTCGATGACAACATAAATCATGTAAATATTGAAACCTACAGAGATATATTATACAATCGTAGAAATTCGGACAATTGCCCCTCTGGTTTTACCTTCTACATTAATCATGAATACAACAATTATGTATTCGTCAATGAACTTTACAACCAAGGCTTCGAGATCGCCCTACATTCAATCACTCATCAGGAGCCTATGTCTTACTGGGAAGAAGCCTCTGTTGAAACTATGACGAGAGAATTTGGGGACCAGATACTACAAATGTCACACTTCGCAAATATTCCCTACGATAGTATAGATGGTGATTATCTATTTTGTGTTATATATAAAATTGATATTATTTCTGTGTTCAATCCAAATTGTTAGTAATGGGTTACTAGTGACCTTATTTCTAGCAATGTATCAGCCAGATCGACGCTAAATCAGTTAACCTTGAAAATCATCGTGGTTAATTACTAGTTATTTCATCACGATGGGCTAACTGCTTCTTCATTTGTCTCGCTTTAGTCCTATTTACTTGGGGTCAGTCCATCTGGTCAATCTTCGCCAGTACGGTGTGTCCTGGATCGTCTGGGGTGTTATTTTGTACGATGATGATGGCAAACGTGCATACACCCCAAATGATGGTAAACGGTTACCAGTTTACGATTACGCAACCTATGGAGGTCTGAGATACCAGGGATGTCAAGTGCGCGTTGCCGACTTTCAAGAAAACTTAGTATAAAAATAAGAAAGAAGGGTTCTTATATAACCCCATGCTGCAGTCACGCAAGAAAACTTCTAATTGTTGAACATCATTTCAAAACATTAAATTACCCGGCTGTTGTTACATGCTAATATAGCCTACCTAATAGTACATAATAAATTACCATAATAGTATCCGATTAGTATTTAATTCATACAATTTTCCACTACTCGTACAGTACAAAAATGCTATTTTATAATTTTTAACTCATTGTTATTACTGATATATTTAATTACTTCTCTTCCCTTTTTAGGTATGCGTATTCCCTTCCTCCAGCTGGGAGGCAACTCCAGTTATCAGATGATGGCCGAAAATGGCTTACTTTATGACCACACTTGGCTTACTATTACCAACATCGAACCTGCTATATGGCCATACACTCTTGAACACGCTTCAACTCAAGATTGTGTTATAGAACCATGCCCTACAGCTTCAATTCCTGGTGTGTGGGTACTCCCTATGCTTACCTGGAGAGATTTAAATGATATTCCATGCCCGATGGTTGACAACTGCCCAACAGCGTAAGTGTTTTAATCTAATAATGATAATACTGTAAATGAAATATTACGAACTAACATTGAGAAATAGTATTAAATCGTGTAATGATACTCGTCGATCAACATTCATCCCATTTTATGAGTACAAATTATTTTACATATCTCACGAGTATTCACCATAAATTAGTCTGCAAAACTTCGCACTGAACTGGATTCATATATCCACTAAAAACTATTCTTGTAGTATGGAATGGTTAAAGTACTAATGGTTGAACTAGTTCTATTGTACTGGACTGACAGTGCACCTGTGACGACAACCGTGTCTACAATATAAATGTGATTGTAAAAACAGAAAAAATATGATTCAAAAGTGTTTTAATTAATCTAGTTATCCCAGATTCAAATAGTTAGTTTTATACTTATATTTTGTTGTTACTATTCTATCCAGGCCTGACCTTACTGATGAAGAAGGCTGGTTCCAGTTCATTGTATCTAACTTCGAGAGACAGTACTTGGGCAACCGAGCTCCATTCGGTTTTTACATCCACGCGTGGTATCTCAGCGTCAATCCAGCTGTGGAGAGAGCACTTGACAGATTCCTGGATCTAATTAATAATCTCAATGACGCATTTTTGGTTAGTTATAAATTCAATATGAATACTCACTTAATAAGGTACATAATTTTATGAAAAAATACATTAATTGTATGTTTCAGGTCAACAGCCGTGATGTAATCGAGTGGGTACAGAATCCTGTGCCGGTGAACGAGTACAGACAGCAACCATGCAACACTTTTGTCCCGACTACATGCGCAGCACAAAGTTGTGGGCCCATACAAGCTGAACACAAGGTTGTTGATTGATGATATATGATTATTTGAAATTAAAATCACATACATTTATTTTCCGTCGATTATTACATGATATTTAGAAAAGGCATCATGTAACAACTATCGTAGACGTTGTAGAGCACGAAATATTTGACATGTCTTCATTTCATGACATTTTACTCCTAAGAGTCTGGTATAGAGCAATCATCATATGTTTATATCATTTTCCTTGTTACATGTTTGTGTTTTCAATTACCGGGAATTGCATAGAAATATACACTAATCTATGAAATGTTTTTGGTACATGCACATTGGATCTCTGGTCCATAGATACTGAATCCTGGGCAATAACGCACACATTTCAAGTCAATACTTATTAATATTACTGTAAACAAGATGAACCTTTGTGATGTTTTCCGAATACTAAATGCAATCTAAAACTTTATTTTAATGATTACATATGTTAATAAAGCAAAAATTAATACATAATACTTACTAAATTATTGCATACATAGGTTATTTTTTTATTTATGGTACATAGATAACAATTGGTGGTAGATACACAAGTAATAAAGTACTCTATGATCAACTTAATATGTATGTAAATTTTTGTAATTTACAAATTCTGGTAAAGATTCAAACAGTGAATCTTCTTAGTACTCAAAATAGTGGTTCTTTATTAATTTCTAATTTTCCTTTTTATTTTATTTCCAGGAGGACTACGACTATTGGTTGCAAGGCTGCGCCCCATGCCCCAGAGTGTATCCATGGCTTAACAATCCTCTCGGCGTATAAATGTGTTTTGATATTAATTACTTTATCATTAATTTGTTGTAGAAATAATGTTTATTCTGATTGAAAAAGTTTCAAAATTCCTTAAACATGACATGTTTTTCGTGACAAATATCTAAATTATTGTAATCGTATTATATTTCTAATTAAATAAGGAGGACATATTTAAATGTTAATTTACTTGTTTTTTTTATTGGATCTTTGTATGGTTCGTTTGATTAGTCTGAATATTTGCCCCTAAATATGAATTGTTAGAGGAGTTCTTTATTTATTTAGATAGATAAAATAAATATTTATTGGATAATGCATTCCATAGTTTGACAGTAAGCAGTTGATAGGTAGTTAAATTCAAAATAGATCTATTAGTATTATTAATAATTATTATAGATCATTATATAGGTTCAATTACAAGCAGTATACGTATATTTAGAACAATACAATTGAATACTAAAGTAAAATTGAAAATATGAAATGCGAATAAGATGTTGTTATAAAAATATTGAAAAGCATGCTACGACAGTATAAAATTAAACAAAGTTCAATAAAAAGGACATACTCGTAGTATACAACTTACTGGGGTTACTCTGAAAAGTTACACCAAACCGCAAGAATTTTAAGTATCTATAAAACGAACACCTTTTGTTCTACAACTTTCCCTGAAACCATATAATTTTTCCAAGAAAAACGGTACGTTACAAATTTGTTATATAAAAATACAATAACACCGAAAGAATCAACCCTAACATCATCTGTCACCAACCCTATCATAACAGGAATTAGGACATTTTTTATGAATGAAATCGAATACTTGCTTTGTTTTTCGTTACACAGTTAATTTGCAAGACTTGCCATTCTACTAATCAAGAACGTCGGCTACTTTTGATTGAATACCAAATAATAGAGTTGTAGAGTTGTGATACTTTGTTATAAATGATATATACTTATTTTTGTATGAATAAAAATCGCTTTCGCAAACAATATAACGCGGGATCAATTAGTTTTTAGTACCTAATGTTGCAGTGCTAGCGGCTTAGTATGCCATTTACGACTACTACAGGATTAGTCGGTAACGTAATATTGAATTATTGAGACCACAAACTTGTTGTCTATATTCTATTTATTTATTCTTTTGCACGCAAAATTGTGTATATGGCGGACTTGAATTGAATGCCTGATAGCATTTTCTACCAATCAACCGTCGCGTTGCTCAGACTACCCCTGAAGGCGGTGCAATTTATTACCTAAGTAGAGAATATCGAAATACAAAATAGATTAACACATAAAAAAATTCTATTGCAGGTGTACAACATATTAATATTATTAATGAGGATTTAATAATATTAATATGTTGTACACGTCGAATAGGTAGTATAAAATTTATTTCAAAACAAATAAAAGTATTTTTTTCTTCTTTTAATATAAAAGGCTTCCACCCTAATGAGGTCGTCGATTTTGCCAACGTCTCCGACGTTGAGAAATGAAGAGTAAGTTTTTGTGACTATATTCGTTAACTTCAAGACTGCTTCCAATAATTATTTATTATTGTAGTTCTATTACAGTCACTTATAATAAAACGATTCTACCCTTAGTTCAACAAGGTGAAATGACGATCTCGAATCAAGATCGCTGGAAGGAAGCGTTAGAAGTGAGCAGCGTAGTACCGATCGTTATGGAGATTTTTGGAAGATTTGTGGCCTTCAGTGTTCTGCAGTTGACGTCTCTGGAGCTGAAATGATAATGATGACCCACAGTTCAGAATACAGTTCTTCTTGAATAGAAAAGTCAAGAACTGACAAGAATCTCAGCTTTTCAAATAAGATTGAACATGATAATAAAATACAAATTTATCATTCAATTAAATCGTGGATAATTTTCATTTATTTATTTATTTAATTCGGATTACATCCATAATGTGTTAGTAAACAACTTATAAAACTATGTTAGTATATTACAATATACAGATACAGAGATAATGTAGGGCCTACCAGTATTAGCTATTACTGTATAAAAATGTTATTAGATAATGTTATTTATTCATACAATTGGATTCAAATTTTTCTACTAATTAATTTCGTTGACGCGGTGAACTCTGATGGTAATACACATCCTTAAGTATACTCTATAAAACTTTCGTTACAAGAAAGCCAAATCTGGTAATAGAAATAACAAAAAGAAGTAAGTGAAAAAAATATACTTTGAAATATAAGATTATTCAAGTAACATTTAGATACTAAAAATCATAACGTAATCAATTTAAAACAAATAACTATTTATATTATTTTAAGAAGATAATATGTGATAAAAACAATCTAACCAGTCAAATTAACAATAATGATAATTATAATATACAATAATACTAATAACCTTGGACAATTAACACAGCGCCATCTAGTCGCACGGTAAGCAGAGCTTGTGTTATGGGTACTAGGCAACTGGTATAAATACTTAGATATTTTGTAAATACATACATAATATACATAGACAACACCGTTGGTATGGGTGTGATGAATCGAACCCGCAACCATTAGAAGGAAGGCGGTGTGCTAAACCGCTAGACCACCGAGGCCGTCGATTATTGTTCATTGAGATAATAATCAAATCTAAGAAATAATATTATAAAGTTCATATAAATAAAATTGTAGTAGTTGCTGGCTTAGCTTATCATAAGCACAGGTAAAGTACAAGTTACCTAACGCTGACCAATATCCAATAGACCGGTTTTAATGCACAGATAACATATTTCACTGATTGTGCTGTAACTTCCTGATAGTTTGTGTAGGGATAGAACGACGAAGCATTAGAATAAGAATTAATGTAATAAACCGCTACACTGTTAAGGTCATAAAATAGTATAATTATGAATATCTCTTGTTCTATACAATAGGCGGAGCACATAGCTCATAGGTCAGATGGGCGTTGGGGTAGTAAAGTCTTCGAGTTGCGGCCGCGGACTGGAAGACACAGCATGGGAAGGACTCCGACAAGGAGGACCGACGATCTGGTCAAGATCGCTGGAAAGCGCTGGTTGCGAGCAGCGCAGGAACAACCGTCGTGGAGATGGACTGAATGATGATGATGATGATGATGAATGAAAATCTGAAAACAAAGGCGGCACAACGACGCAATCAGATTAATATACTTTTAATTAATATACTTATCACATTATTTAATTATTTACAAGTACATATATATAACTTTTTGATTTAAGTCATCACCTATATTTATTTCTATATCTACATTGGATGACTGAATATTATTAGAAAGATAAGATATGCTATAAATAAATTGTTATCAAATTAAGCGCCAACAACTTAAGGTCTAGTGAAGGAAATTATATTAATGTCACAATTAAAAAGAAATAATTAAAATCTGAAGAACTACATGAAGAGCACGAATCAATCCCTAATATAGGAATACGCAAGTTGATAAATAATTATATTGAATAACTATACGGGTACACTTAATTCAATTGTAAACATCAGAATTCTATAATAATTAAATCAAAACCGACAAACTATGTTGCTCACCTCTGATTGGTGTAGTTATATATCAGAATATTGCTCAACATTAAAAGAAATCAAATAAAACTACACTAAATTTATATAAACTTACATTGCTTTTATTATATTTAGCTTAATTATTAATCCAGTTCTATTACAAATATTTCCTAAAGGGAAACCTCTAAGACAAATACAGGAACCTTCTACTACGTATGTGTCAATTATACAATATTATCAATATTAATCCACACAGTTTTAAACTTTATTTACAACTAGCTGTGCCCGCGCTTTCACTCGCATGACATTTAGAACCTATGTGTTATTCTGATGTAGAAGATATGTCTCTGTAAAGTTTCAACAAAATCCGTTTCTGCGTGAAAGAGTAACAAACATCCTTTCATACTCACAAACTTTCGCATTTATAATATCTCGAGCTCTCAAAAAATGTTGTATTAGCATAATACAATATTATTTAAAAGTTCCCGATACACTCATGATTTCTCGTTTACGTAAAATGTACAAATAAATTTTACGAGTTTCGATAACTACAACTGTAACTATTTCATTCCCTACAACTGATTATATATTTTTTTTAATTTCGCAACATATTAAGATGATGTATTAGGTTGATATTTTTTAGTAAATTGTATAAAATATTATTTCAGCGTACAGTGATTACTGATTATTTAGCCCAATGTATTGCACAAGATAAGAAATCACGTTAATCGATAGATAAGTTATCTTAAATCTTATTGATGTGATGTCGAGAAAAAATATGATTGAAAGGCAAAAATTAAAAGATAATGATAAATTATATAAAATGGTAGGATGCGATAGTTAACGACCATTTTCTTGGAAGTCTGCACGAGTAACAATGAAGTGGTTAGCAGTGATTTGTCTGGTGTTCGCGTCGGTAGCTTGCAATGAGCTGCCTTTTGCTGAACCATGTAACGAACAACTATGTCAATTGCCAGATTGTAGATGTTCATCTTCAGGCATTCCTGGAGGCTTGCAACCGAGAGATACACCACAGGTTTTATTAATATTTTACAGTTTAAATATTCTATTGATTGGGCATCATTATAATTTAATTCATATTATAACAGCGTTACGAGCATGGACATTTGTAAGTCGCTTGTTTGTGTGTCGAAAAATCGTCATGTTTGTATATTTAGTCACCGCAAAAAGAAACAAAAAATATTGTATTGTATCGTAATATCAAAAAAACAGTAAAGATTTTCTATGGCAGGTATTTATTGGTTTTCTGATAAATTTTATAGTAGATATTGAACTTTGACACACGATTAGGAGGCGAATAGGATTTCGCTGGGTTAGTTATCGAATACATTTACTGATATCTTAAATTTGCTGCAATTTAAATTAAATTATTTCAAAGAAAAACAATAATCGAATAACTGTCTTTTGGACTCGTAGACTTAATGCTGGATTTCTTTTAGGACTCCTAATATTGTCACACACAACATATAAACAGGATATTACATAATTTTACCACCAATTGACCCTTCACCAGGACATGTTTTAACAGCGTCAAAATAACGAGAGCTCTTTAATAATATTATCGCGTTAAATTCCCATTTATATAATATGTATAATTACAAACAATCGTGAAAAACAAAACAGTGTTTGACATTTAGAATATCTATTATGAAATATTTAGTTTTTATAAATTTTCAACAGTGTGTCTTTTTTCAGTTCGTTCTCGTTACCTTCGATGATAATATAAATTCCATAAATATGGAAACATACAGAGAGATATTATACGGACGTAATAATTCGGACAGTTGCCGTTCCGGTTTTACCTTCTACATTAATCACGAATACAACAATTATGTATTCACCAATGAATTGTACAACCAAGGTTTCGAGATCGCTCTACATTCGATTAGCCACCAGGAGCCAATGGAATACTGGGAAGAAGCAACAGTGGAAACTTTGGAGAGAGAGTTTGCGGACCAAATAGGTCAAATGTCACACTTCGCAAATATTCCCTACGAGAGTATAAATGGTTATTATCAATTTTTAATTAATTTAATGTTTTACCTTTTTCATGAATTCCATAAAGTACAGTAATAATATAAAGGTTATATTTTATATCGTTTACATATACACATACATTGCGCCCGACATTATCACTATAATGTGCTAGACATTATCTGCAAGTCATAGGGAGGGTATTATGGAATTATGAATCTTTTTATAATGGACCCAATTGTGATAAAGATGATCTTTATTAAGACAATTAATATGTCTTCAATCAGGACAAGTCTTTAGTTCTGGTAATAAAGATATTAACAGAATCAAAGAACAACTTAATCTTCAGTTCAGCATATTCCTTCAACATAACGGCTATATTGTACAACTTTTACGATTTTTATTGTATTATATACAATAGTTAGGGGGAGGCCTTAATTCAGCAGTTGACATCTTCTGGGCTAAGATGATGATTATATACAATACAATAAAAGTCGATAAATACTACTGCTTATTATGGTTATACGTTATCTGGTTAATACTCAACTATTAATAATATATTTTTAATATTTTAAAATAAGATTAAATGTCATACTAACTTCTAAACACTCCTCAGGTATACGCGTTCCCTTCCTCCAAATGGGAGGAAATTCCACTTATCAGATGCTAGCTGATAACGGTTTGCTTTACGACCACACTTGGCTCTCTATCACTAATATTGAACCTGGTTTCTGGCCGTACACTCTGGATTATGCTTCAACCCAAGACTGTGTTATAGAACCATGCCCTACAGCTTCAATTCCTGGCGTGTGGGTACTCCCTATGCTTACCTGGAGAGATTTAAATAATAACCCATGCCCAATGGTTGACAACTGCCCTACACCGTAAGTATTTTAAGATATTATATTGAAATTATTAAAATCGTTAGCATGTATATCTCGGTTTGTGAATACTTCATCTGAAAAACATATCGCTTTTATTAATTTTTATATTATTGGTTTGATCAAAAATCTTACCAGTTACATAAACTATTTCCATAAGAAAATAATTATTTATTAATATAAATATTTATAATCTACAATTTTCTAAAGAAACTACAAAAACTGTACTTGTAAAATGGCAATTTTTTTAATGATGATGATGTCAAATTACATTTAATATTAATTATAATATTGTATATACCTTACGCATTTAAAAAAGTAATTATATCTGATAGTAAACTTAGAGATATATCTTAATTTCTTAAATGATTCCGCAAAAAAAATAGTTATGGCATAGCTTCGTACAACGCTGTTTCTGTTAGAAAACTTAAGAAGTTTATGCATTTAAGTATGTAGGTTCAGAGACCCACTTATATTGGTGATATTCTTGCCTTATTACGATTTTCAGCTTTCTTTAAATATTTATGTGATACTGTTAGCATGATTTTTGAAGTCTTACTTAAAGCGTCATACTCATTATAGCTACGTCATACTCGGAGTGCTTTATTTAGAGATTAGTTAGCTCTATTCGATATTTTAAAAGAGCCGTCTTTTTTTAAACATTCTTCTCGGTTATTTTTTATACAAATGTTGTGGAAGAATTTAAATTTCTTTTCGTAATATTTTAATTTTAAATACATTATTTCTCGGATTTTTTGTAATCGAATGTTAATACAAATCTCTATTCCAAAGAAGTTGAATTATGTATATTTTAGTAAAAAAATACTCCTATTCTATTTCATAACACAGGCCTGCTCTGACTGATGAAGAGGGATGGTTCCAGTTTATTTTAACTAACTTCGAGAGACAGTACTTGGGCAACCGAGCTCCATTCGGTTATTACATCCACGCGTGGTATCTCAGCGTGAATCCAGCTGTGAAGAGAGCACTCGACAGATTCATTGATCTAATTAGTAATCTCAATGACGCATTTTTGGTTGGTAACAAATTCAACACGTTATGTAATTAAATAACATACATATTTTTTAAAAAATAATAAATAATCCTGGACAATTAACACACCGCCATCTAGTCCCACGGCAAGCTGAGCTTGTGTTTTGGATACATAGAAAACACGCAGATAGATACAAACAATCATACTCATGAATACAAATGTTTGCACCGTGTGAGGAATCGAACCAGCAGCCATCGGAATCAAAGCGGTGTGCTAAACCACTAGACCACCGAAACCGTCTCCAGTGAACAATTTGTTTACAATAATTATATATTTCAGGTCAACAGTCGTGATGTAATCGAGTGGGTAAAGAATCCTGTGCCGGTGAACGAGTACAGACAGCAACCATGCAACACTTTCGTCCCGACTACATGCTCGGCACAAAGTTGCGGACCCTTACAATCTGACCATAAGGTTTGTAATCATATAAGATCATATGGTTATTCCATATACCCACAATCCAAGAGGTATGTTCATATGCTCTTTTATATGCCGTGCTCTTTTATATGCTACGGCATATAAAAGAGCATATGAACATGAACCCAAATTGTAGGGGCGAAGTCTTCTTATTACATACCTATAGATTATTGTAGGATGTACTCTTGAGGAAATATTTGTTTTGTTTGTTGTATATTAGTTAAATATGCAGTGCAGTTTCACTATAAGTGTTCGAGCGTTACCGAACACCGGCCGGCTCGAAGACTTCTTTTGACCTTCACTAATTACGAATATTGGAATACAGTGGATTTTAAAACTATAAAGTATAGTGTTTTACAAATAAATAGAATATGCATGCAGTGTCCTCGTTGAGGCAATAGGAAAGGAGTCGACTAAAACCGACACGGCCCGACCACTACTAGTGATGTTGTTTGATAACAATCAAACAATAAATTTGTTGTTTATTAAGTTCTAGTTTTGTTTTCATTTTTCCAGGAGGACTACGACTACTGGATGCCTGCCTGCGCTCCATGCCCCAGAGTGTATCCATGGCTTAACAATCCTCTAGGCGTATAAATGAATGTATTTGTTATAGAAATTAGAAAATAAGAATTATTTCTGATTGAAAAAAAAAGTAAATAAATAACATTTTTAGTAACAACTCCTTTATAACGTAATATTTTTTTTTTTCAACTATCATTCATATTACTGCATATTACTACACATACTACCTACTACATGTACATTTTACATATCATATTAAATAAGAAGGACACAATAAAATGTTTTTATCATTGTTTTATAATCCTGAATGGCGTAATTATTCAAGTTTTTTACCATAATTTTCGGTTAAATATATCAGCAGTATTTTACAGTAGTAATTTTGCCCCTCCGATCGATTCCCGTCCCATTCATCGGGGATCCAAATTACAACGACCCGAGTCGAGTTTTGAACCCCTAGCGGTGCCCTCAGTTTAAAATCCCATCCGTCAGACGGAAGTTAGCCTTCAGCCGCTGCATAAGTCCTTCATGGGTTGGAAGTGCCATCTGCATTGGCCCCCTAGCATCTGGTGAAGCCAGCCGCAGACAACAATATCTATCACTTAATAATTTAAAAAATTAATTTGTTTGATAACAAATTATTCCAAAATAGTTTTAATAATCTAGATAAATAGAAATAATCATGACTTCAATATAATAAACATAAATTTATTTAATCGACAATTATATTTAATTTTCAATTTGTAATGGATGGGTGATTAAAAAAATGTCTAAAATCTGAAATATACTGAATACAGAACTATGTTTTAAATAGAAATACAGGTATGTTAGCGATTGCAGTATGAAGAAACCAGTATAGTGTCTTATTTGAAGGTGTGGGACGCAGTTACCTAGATACATCAAAATAATAAATATATTGTCTACTAAGCACTGCTGTGTCTAAACTGTGTCACCTTACATTTTATTTACTATTGTTATTTTGTATATAAGGTCATTATTTCTATGTACACATTGTCAGTTTATTACCATCTGTAATATACATCGTCTCGACCACCAACATCGTATTCATTCACCCGCAACAGTGGTGACCCCGTTATCGACATCGAACCCGCAACAGAAGGTATTATAATATAAAAAGTTAGCGCACGGTAAGTTCCAGATAATATTATATTCGTAAACAACAGAAATGTATAATATTATGGCAGTAATTATACATTTAATATATCTCAATTCTTAAACCATACTCTTCAGATGGTAAAACTTCATATTGTTCGAGAAAACCCATCAGTTGCTTACTGTTTAAGTTGTTAGGATCTTACATTTACAGGTCTTAACAATAACCCAAAACCCTCAATAAATAAAATTGAATAAAATTGAAATTAGTCTATAATTACTACTTTTGTATCAATATCTGACCTTATTGGCTTATATTGGGTGAATAACAACCTTAATAATAATAAATAATAATAATAACAACTTTCTTAAACTAAAAAGAAATATCCGTATCGACATAGTTATATTACAAATCTGGGTGATTGAATTAATAAAAACTGTTTGTTAGAGACTGAACAGTTTCAAAGTCATCTAATCTAATCAGCACTCATCTAATATAATTTATTATGATCTATCATCTCCTTTTTGCTCGTGCCTAAATTTGCTGATAAGAGGAGTAGAGGCCTCAGAATTTATTAGTAGAATTTATTTTAATTCAAATCAAACTACCAGTTAGTTTAATAATATATAATCAAGTAGCTGCAATACATTAAATAAAAGCCATAAAAAATGTTATTCTGGAAAGATTGCAGAATTCACAGATATATATCATAAAACAATAACGTTATTAATCGGTGCAATGTATAGACTTAATTCTAAATCAATACATAAAGATCAAAATATTAAAGACTATGCTGTCATTTTGATTAGATAATAAAATATCAGATACAATACGAAATCAAACATACGATGTAAGTACTTATTAAAAAAAAGTAAGCCTAGAACCTGTGACTTTTAATCTGTGGGAGAAATTATACCTATATAATGTCTACTAGTGCTAAACTAAGGAGAGCATAATATATTAGAAATACTTAAATACAAATGTATTCAAATAGATGCAAAAGAAATTTCCAGACCAATACAACACTCATACCGTTGAATTCAATTATTTGTATCGTGCAAGATCTGAACCCAAGACCATCGAATATAAGGTGTGCACACCACCGAACCTCCAAAGCCGCGAAAACAATTCAACCTATCAATCAATCTAATATGCTCAATCGTTAATAGATTATTGAATAAAAACATGAATTATAGCAATCGGTAACATGCGAACGTCAGCACTACAAGACACGATAGCGAGGGTTGCCACGTCGCGCGAAGCATTCTGACCTTCAACATATTTGTGGCGATTCTACGGATACCGCGCGGCAACACCGTTGCCTAGCGACGTTGTGAGACGAAAAATAACAAGCCTGTCAGATTGGGACCTAATTGCTTCTGTTCTGATACGTTTAATATATATTTTATATATTATAATTAAACAATGCAATTATTGTAAATAACGCAAGAATATACATTTGTACATAACCACCACTGGACTCGTTATTTCATTTTTCTCCACCTGTTACTGCCCGTACCAGACGAACACAAACATAAATAATAGATAAATATAGACGCTAAATATTTTTTAGTCTTTTCATTTTTAAAACTTTCTCTTATCTATTCATTACTCTTTAATCTAATCATATATTAATGTTTCTATTTGTAGTGTATGTGTGTAACACTAGAAGTAGACAGTTAATAACAGTAGTCTCGCGCCGGGCGCTCTCGCTTCGTGAGGCGTAAGAGTGGGGATTTTCCCCGATTTAGACACCACGTAGTTACGACGTACTGTTTTGGCTAAAGAGCCGATATTGTACAGATATAACAACTAAAATACAAGAAGGCTTTAATAATAAATAAGTGAACATTGCACTATTGTTGCACCTTCTATAACTATGCTTCAGTAGAGCCTACGAGTCGTAGGCTCTACTGAAGAATGTACTCACGATACGGGATTATTAATACATATATTAAAAAGTATCTGTGCCCGCGGTTTGCATGAAATTTATAGGCTATATATTCTGATGTAGCTATATTACTGTAAAGTTTCATCAAATCCGTTCTGTAGTTTTTGCGTGAAAGTGTAACAAACATGTATCCATACTCACAAACTTTTGCGTTTATAATATTAATAAGATGTTAGAGTACATTATGTTAGAGATACATTATGTTAGACGCTGATTTAAAAATTTCAATGTACCAAATGAGATTCTTCTCAATTCTTATCTAAATCATCCTATTGAACTGGACCATATCTATACATATAAATAAAATTTGAGTGTTTGTTTGTAATATGGAAATAACCATTTTTTACTATATGCATATGAATATAAATACGGTACATACTTCAAAATAACATTTTTTATGATTTTTGTCTATCTGTCTGTATGTTTATTTCGGATAATCTCCGAAATGACTGAACCGATTTTGGCGGGATTTTTTTTGGCAGGTAGCTGATGTAATAAGGAGTAATTTAGTTTACATTTATTTTGAATAAATTCTTTAATTTTAGAAAAATAAATTTAAATTCCTCGCAGACGAAGTCGCAGGTATAGCTAGTAAGGTATAAAAATAGTGATACAAGAAGTTGTAAACATTAACCAGCTGGCAAGAATGGTTTCACTTTCCCTGAATTTCATAGCGATATCGTAATTCCATTTCCATATTACATAATAGACGAAGAATAATATTTACATTTGCATTGAGCCATCGAGCCTACGACTCGTTAGCTCTACTGAAGAATGTACTCACATTGTGAATTACAAGACCCTATGTGAGGCATTAGTCAGATACGGGATTATACGCCCAGCCATTCGATGTTAATTCTTTATGGGCCACCTAACTTTAATCTTCACGTTCGTAGTTGATCGTTCTTGTACCTATAAAAAAATGTAGGTGGTCTGGTGGAAAATTTTATTCAATATCCGAAAGAATCTATACAAATAAATAAAATTGAAGTGTCTGTTTGTAATTTCAAATTAACAGCTTTTCTTGAAACGCATATTAAAGTATATACGGTACCTACATCTGTAATTTTAATTTATAAAGTTTTATCTGTCTGTCTGTTTATTCTTGCTAATCTCCAAAAAGGCCAGACTGGTTGACGGGATTTTCACGCGCTAATGTTAAAAGGTTAAATTAACTTAGGCTAATTTTATTTCAAAAATATAAATAAAAAAATATATTGCACTCGGATAACGACACGAGTAACAACTAGTCTGCAATATATTTAGTTACCTGATAATTGATAATAAGTAGGCGTAGATTTCTTCCTACCTACTCCAGATTAATTAACCTTGACTTATTTTTTATCTAGATATAAAATTCTTTTATATAGGTATTTTCTTATCAACATTTCTATGTTTTATCTGTAAAATAATATATATAGCATTTCACTATCTTTTAGGACGTGATTATAGAATGATAATTAAGAACCAGAAGATATATTAATATGAGCCCATCGTCCCTGTCGGCAAGTGATCAAAATTTGACCATAATTAATTCAAATTAAACATTTAAACTTTATTAAGGTTCTAATTAGTATAAATACAGATACAATTTTGCTTAGATTAACAGATAATTTATTTTAAATTTACACTGTAAGTTACTACGTAAATGTTTATAATCTATAATGCGCCGCTTACTAACTTCTCAGTTTGCCTTATGGTTCACTGGTAGAGTTCCTCTGAGAGAACTCCCTTAGGAGTTAAGTTCGCCATATGTATTTATATATTGTATTTGTGCATTAAAGTTTAAATAAATAAATAAATAAGTGTGCGACAAAAATGTTCAATGTATATTAACGCCTACTGTTCTGTAATTAAGGTACCTACTCGCATAGTAACTTCTCACTACTTACATCTCTAACAGACAATTTGACATTGTTCAAATAAGACACAAACAATATTCTTCCTAATACATTTATTTTATTTCATTTACATCGAGTAATACATGTCATATCGAAAATTGGTAAATATTGGGGTTGCATTCATTGTTGTCACAATATCCTACTGTTTTGATAGTAATTAATAGCAATTATCACCAATATTATTACCATTTCACCAAGATATCGAAAAAAATATTCAATAATAAGTGTATTTTCTTTACATTATTTTTAATAAAAAAACATATTACCGATATATTACGATGTACCTATAAATGTTTTAGTAAACTGTATTGTTTTACTGACATATTATGTAATAGAACTTTTATCAGTTAATAATTTGACATTATACATCTATACTATGACAGACACGAAGACGATTTTAAAAAGATGTTATTTTACATTATTAATAATATTTACAATTAATTGCGAGATTTTACATTTTACAATCGTACGGCAGGGAAATGTTATGATGAACACAATTACCAACTAACGCACACATCATTTTCTTCACAAACACCAACTGATTTCTTATAAATTTCATTGTAATATATAATTATTGTAACCATTTATAGTCATAAGGTCATGAAGGAGAATGTAATACAAAGAATCTCCCTTGACGTTCTATATTTAAAAATTCCAGTTTCATAAGCATGTATGAAAAACTACTGTATTTTATCAAGTACTACTAAAAGGAATAACTCTATCACAAATCTAATACAATAAATAACTAACACTATATTCCTATGTAGCTAGTTTATATTTACATCTATCACGACTTATAGACACTTATCATAAAAGAGCATCATCATTACTGTTATCAATTCATTGATATCAATATGGCTTTAATGAAAATTATTTCCATGAGGTAGAAAATAAAATTATAACATTCCTATTATTTAAGTACGTGATTATAGATAGGTATTTACATTTATTATAATATATAAATAAAATTACGTACCTACTACACTAGTTCGCATTAATTTTGCATTACAATTAAAATCACTAATTAGATTTCTATTAACAAATGCTTATTTACAAATTTTTGTACATTGAAACAACATAAAATAAAATAAGTTAGTAATACTGTATATATTTTTAAAGCTTATGTTCAGAAAAATACAAGCTAATATTAAGTTTTTTATAACTCTAGCACTAACTAAATCAGTCTGTTAAATTAAAAGAGATATTTTTATTTTAATACAATAGTATAGGCAATTAATTAAATAAATAGAAAGATACGTAACTATTTAGACAGATAAAATAGATTATTCGTTATATTTCTAAACTTCTTTATATTCGTTTAAAGAACAAGCTATCGCTTTTTCGCCATATTACATAGTATTGCCAGGAAAGAACAACAAATGAAAGTAAATGCTACATTTCTATTCTTCACCACAAAAGAAACTAATATTACCTAAAATTATAACAATCCATATATATTGCTTCATGAAATATTGGCAAGAATTCGTTTTCATGATATCAAGTTACGAGTATATTTATTTGCGACGGAAACATACATTATATATTAAGATACGTTAACACGCTTATTATTCATTTTCAATATTATTAGCAAATACATATAACATTTCTCTGGAATATGGAGACAATCGTCGATTTTTTATAATTATTACCAGGGGCGGATCGTGAATTTGTGGGGCCCTGGGCTAAATCTACTTAGGGGCCTACCTAATTAAATTACTTAACTAAAAAAATACACAGACCAAAAACAAGCGACCAGAAATTCCCCATTTGTTTTGATAGAAGCGCACTTGCATGGGTTGGTTGCTAACCTTATGATAGGTTTTTTAACATTTTAGATATTTTTTTATATTCTAAATATCGATTCGGGACCCTGGGCTCCAGCCCAAAAAGCCCTTAGGTAGATCCGCCCCTGATTATTACAAATATATTGTCAACAAATTGTTTTGTATTACCAATTGAATATAGACACATACTTTTCAGTGTTATTTCTAAGCAGTAAGTGGATTAGCACTAATTAGAGGTCTTTATGATTTATACAAGCCATCAAGTCACGGAATATTCTCCCAGTTTCATAATTTCCATCGAAATATAAGTTAGACTTCTTCAGGAGAGGCGTAAAGTAGTTCTATAAATCAAAGCCATCTATCACACAAACATAGATTCTATAATATCTTGGACTAAGGTGGCTGTAGAGTTAAAATGTAATGAAAACTGAAATAGCTAGACAAGAAACTGTTATCTACATAAACAAAAATAAATCGCCGAATGAATGTATGTAAGCGGATTACATCAGGACGCCTGCACCTGAAGGCCAATTCTTCTTTTTCCATTGTTTATAATTGTCAGTGTTTCTATATAAAAAAATGTTCAGAAAAGTAAAGATCTCCGTATAAAGAATATAATGACAGAATTGACAACTCCAGCGTCTGGCTACATATATATATTATAAAGAGAAGGTTTGATCTAAATTTCTTCATTAATACACAGGTAGCAACGAGCAACTTGTTTACATAAACAAAGGAAAATAGACTTTAATTACAAACATGATGATCCTTTTTAAACCGGCAGACTTCGCAATGAACCTTGCAACACCAGACGAAGCGGCAGTTGCATTTCTCCTCGTGATCGCGAACCCTAGTTTGGTACCCACGACCGCAGCATAACAAGCGGCAACCATCAAGCCCAGCAGAGGTGCGATTGCAAGTACGACCACGGGTGCCTAGGATGCCAAGTCTGAAAATAAAAACATTGTTTAAAAATTGACTACGAATCATCATTGCCTTGCCTTAATCCCATAATTTAGGGTCGGCGCAATATGTCATTCTCTTCCACTGCTGTCTATCGGTCGTTATATCTGAGCATACCCTTCTTTTATTCATATCATCTTTCACATAATCCATCCATATAAAAAACTAAAAATAGCTATAACGTTTACTTATATGCGGTCGAAGTGGGAACGAAAGCTATACTAGCGAAATTACTCTAGTTCTAAACAGGCAAGATCTTTTGTAAGATCTCATACTAAAACATGTATCTAGACATGTACTAGTAGCTTCCTACCACATTTGGCTGGACACGGAGAAAAACATGAGCGGTGTAGGTATGTTGACATACATAGACCAGGGGCCGAATAATAAATCTACACCCGGGTCACCAGTCCCGAGAACTGTTCGGAGTTTCTCTTTCTGCCATACGATAGACCCGTCTCCCGCACGATAAATCCATAATAATAGTCTAGTTTAGCATAATGCTTTACTTCAAATAGTTGCGGGTTCGATTTCTTGCACAATAAGAATATTTGTATTTATTATTATGATTGTTAATCCACCAGGAATTAACTACGATTCAGCGGAGATCACGTAGGAGCTGATCTGTTAGGGTACATTATTAGTAAAGGTACCGCAAAAGAGATATCCCCATTACAAGTATTAACAATCGCTAATCCTTCTGTATTACGTGAATTGTAAACTACATACAAGTACATATATACTATATCTATACACTTACTCCTCATTGGGTTCACAATAATCAGGAGAGTCTTCTAAATACACCAAATCAGTTTTATTAGGTTTCTTCATATCAGAGTGCAGTGGTCTTAGTTTTCTTATATTTTTGCCTCTTTTTCTCTCTACTACCTAAAATATAACAAAACATTATTCAATTTAAATACCAAACAGCATAAATCCAAAATAATTCATTGATTACAAATCATGGTATGTAAATATATGTTTATATGTTGTCGAGTCTCTTATTCTCGATAATGTGGTTGTCCTAAATCTGCGAAAAATTTTAATTAAATAAATACTATATTTAATACCATTTTATGTTTTCAAATCCTATAATCTTACACATCAAAATAGTATTGTTATAATAGAACATTAATATAATAAATAATCACAACTCTAACATAACACCTATTACACCAGCTAAATCTCGAGGCACTACCTGCGTGAATTTAGGTAAAATGTGTTCATGTATCATTTTATTCTTACACTAAATTTCATTACAATCTGTCCACGAGATTTTGAATAAACACATCCAAATCCTCATAATTTTCTCCTTTAGGGGAAAGGTGATTATTGGTAATGTGGACTAATGAATCCATTGCTAGCAGTGTACATGCTAATGTACATGATAGCCTGAAAACCATCCTGATAAGTTCCTGATGAATTTCTCCCGACGAGCTAACCGACCTGACCTCATTTTCATTTTATCATCCTCCACTACCTCGCCAGCGTAAACCGTTAGCACAGACAAGCGAACCATTCCATTATCAGCAATAAAAAACTCCCGTTTATAATAATAATTGTGTTTACCTTAACATGAGAAGCCCCTTCGTATCTGGTGGTGAGAACATCACCAACCAACCTGAGCTGAGGCAGTCGACGCCAGCACACGCGAACCGAACACGACCCGGACATGCCGTGACATTTGCAAACACGTTGCATACGACCGCGTACTGCCTGAAATTTAATAGAATATTTTATGCAGCTTAAATGATATATACCCGTGGTAACTCTCATGAGTCGTCATTTTTTATAATAAAGAAAAAAATAGATAAAATTATGACTACCTGTATTTTACGGTGCTGCACGAGTTAACTGCAGCTAATCTATGTATTAAATCTCTAGTTGTTTTTTTTATATCATAGGGGTAAACGACCTTGCGGTATAACTGATGGTAAGTGATTATCGCCGTCTACGAGCACCCGCAATAGCAAGAGAACTATAGGAGAGTTGTCATCCTTTTAGGTGGCATTATATCTTTTTTAATTCATATAGATTCGAAAATACAAAGAAAAAAGTTTCTTTCAAAATACACTGTGGCTGATTGCCATTTGGATAATAAAGATAATCTTTTTTTAATTATCCTCACAAACTTCTATATTGACTACTGTTAGTAGGAATAAGATTACAAATGAATGTGAATGGCTATAATGGCAGAGGAAGGTGTGAAAGATGATATGACAAGAAAGAGATGAATGGAAGAGAAAAAAAATTACGCCGACCCCAATAATAAATGGGATAAGGAAGACACTTAATTTTTATTTATTATGAATATAGATAAGGACCGTGTTCAGATTAAAAAAGGTCAATATTACTATAGGTAATGACTGTGTTCAAATTTAAAAAAGTCTATATTACCCTTCGTCCAGCTTCGTGGTTGTGTAAATTTATGAGCCCTTCGTTCGTGTTCTTGTCTTCTTTAGAATCTATGAAGTCTCGACTGAACATCTCTCCGTATCTAATATCCTGTAATTGAAAATAAGAGTAGTAAGAGACGAGAGTAATGAAAACTAAATTATTAATAACATTATTTTTCTATCAATTTATTACGTACGGGTCATCCACCACACCCACAATCCAGAGTAGGATATAAGTAGTCCTAGTACTATTTGAAGGATGGATTTAAATATCTCAAAAAATCTTTATACAATGTATGACAATAGACGAGTTTTAAAAGTGGAGTAGAGTAGATAAATGAAACATTCGAGCATTTTCTATCTCTTTAGACACCTGACGTGAAGACAGAAAACCTCACCTCAGAGCATCCTCCCCATTGCCAGTGTCTCGGAGTGCGTTTTCTCACGCGGGCATCGCAGGAGCACTCGTTGAGTTCTCCTCGGCTGCAAGCACGTGCTACCGTATGTGCTAGCGCAGCTGCAGAAAGCGCATGTACAAATGCTGACTCTCGTGATTCTGAAAATAGAAATTATATAATTTTATAATAGTTTTTGAAAATGCGAGTACAAAGTGTGACATAAAATTTTCCACATAAAGTTGTGAAAAATTTTATGTGGAAAATCCACATAAAATTTTCCACAACAAAACTATTTAGTGTTCCAATTTCAAGGTGATTTAATATACCAAAGAATAATAATTGCTGTATACAATCTAAAATTTTATATTTAATATGAAGATGGTTTTATAATTATTGTTTTGTTAGATTCGGAACCTAAATTTATCACTAAAACATACTTCGAAATAGAAAATTAGAATAATAATAAATAATTTGTAAAATAAGTAACAATTACAGTTGAACAATTTACAGCAATTTCTAGAATTACTCGTTTTGCTTAAAATAACTCTACTAATAGACATATTTCTAGACAGTAAAAGAAAGAAAAGTTAAAGAGAGAAGTCGACAGAGTTTACAAATAATAAATATGATTTAGAAAGATACTGGTTCGACCCCAAATAATAAGAAAAAGATAGGGCGAAAATAAAAAAAAATCTTAAATTCAGTAGACACTAAGTTCATTGACCATTCAGTTCGCTACTATCCAGATATGTAGACCCTTCTTCAAGTCATCATACCAAATCCGGGTTTGTGACTGTTGATGTGTCCACAAGATTTGGAGGTCAGCGTAGACTGGACGTGTTATTAGTGGTTTACAATAAACATACTGAGCAGCTCAGTCAACAGGACTACACGTGAGGCCAGTTATCGACATTTCAAAATAAACAATCCATGTATATTCCATGAAAACCGTTGAAGTCGCTTATAAACGTGGCATGTGAGACGGATTTACTCATTTAATGTTGAAGGTATATTTTCAGTTTAAAAATATCTATCAGTTTCTATTTTCGCCCATTGACTGATTTTGTTTAATATTTTTTGTTCATTCTCTCTACTAATTTGATAATTGAAAAATAAAAATAAACACTCGATATACCGCTGTATGTATATATATTTTTATACAACAGTGCAATGGACAAATTTACCGCCATCTCTGAGTTCTCTTTGGATTAATATAGTTTTTATTTTCTATTTCAGTATGTATCTGTGATTTCAGTAACCAGAAATCTGAAATGTAAATTGTGACAAAGTTTTTTTGACGCCGGTCAGACTTGTACCAATATTGGCTCTATCAAACGAAGTTAGAAAAGGTTCAAAAATTAATATATCCATAATAACATAATTTCGAAAGTACGTCTGTTTAAATCCCTCTTTGTTATCTTTTAAAGACTAAGTATATATATACTTCTTTATAGACCATAGTTTTTGGTTGTTACAATCGGACTATTATTTACGGGTAACAACTAATGATCTATAGTTTAATAATTCCCAAAAGCAGATTCTATTACAATTAATATTAATTACTAAAAAGGATATCAGTGAACTAAGGAGTTCCCCCATGCCTTTCAAACTCATCATCTAAAAATTAACAACCTGTATTTCCAATTTGCTACATTTAGAATCCCCTTGAACTTCAGATAAAACAAACAATGGAACCGCTGATGACTGACAGGTTTTCTACAAAGCGTCGCTGACGCCACTTCAAAGGGCATGTGGCAATCATAAGCCCTCTCAGTTTGTGTAGTGTTCTTAAGATCTCGGGAGAGTTTGTAACAAAATGTATATTGTTACAATAAGTTCTATTTACTAATCATGACATTTCTCCATATTGGAATCATAAAAGCACTTAAGACTATTTTATCGTGCAGTTTTATTAATGGATGCTGATGGAAATGCCTCTGCCTGTGCCCGTGAGTAATCTTTATAGAAAGTAGTCTCATTTTTATAATCTCATTTATTTCATGCTATCAATAAGCAGTTACTTTGTTTGTAAAACAAAACAAAATAAGCAGTTACTTTGTTTGAAATTACAGGGTACAAAGACTTTATGATTTGACTCCGATCTTAGACCTTCAGGCAGACAATAATCATTTTCAGGTATATATTTACATAGCTGGCGGTGACGGACCACGATGAGTCGTCAGCTTGTTTGTTATTTCAATTACATTATCACCACTATCAGCTTCCTCTAGTGCCCTGCTTTTGTATAACACATTATTTTATGTTAATTAGGCAACACAACTTACTAACTAACGCAAAACACTTTTTAAATTCCACGCGGTTATAATTTCCACGTAATATTAAGGAAAACACGTGACCTTACCACGTTTTATATGTTATTCTTGGCTTCCAAGTATATGTATGAGTAAATAAAGTTACGATATGAAATTACATTGCGTATATGCTATTGTGCCGAGATGAGTATTGAACGGGTTTCAGTACTAGCAACAAACGAAGACTTGTGAAGGTAGACGAATGTGTCTGCTTATAATTTACTAACTACCCTCTGCTCTTCAGTTTACCAGTGATCGGGACTGTAGTAACACAGCCTAAATATTAGAAACTGAATAAATAATGTACTTTGTACATTGTATATAAATAAATTCGCTACTGCTATGTGTATTAATCCTTTAAATTACATAATGGATTTAGTACCGTTTTTTGCAATAGATAGAATAATTCAACAGAAATATTTATATATACGGGTATAATACATGCATAGTATAAAAACGCCAAAATATTTAAATATTTGTATTGCAGGCGTACGAAGCATTACGAAGAAACTGTGTCTACAGCGCCTAATGCGCAATTAAAGTGTCTAAATCTGTGAAACCAGATGGATGAAATTTAATTCACAACAATAATAACAAGTACATTAATATAAAATTATCAATTGATAAATACTACATAACCAAATTAATTTGTTTCCAAGAACTTTTATCATGAAATTTGATAATTATATGGATCAGATTATTGTGGCGTTCCGCCTAGATTCAAGATAAATGCATAATACGATTGTTTCGTAATAATTACGTCTTTTAGAATATTATCTTATTTTTCTTCTTCTATTATAACAGTATAAAGCAAAGTTAATATATTCGTCTGTCTATTTAATGTTTACTTCTAAATCAAGTCATATTTTGATTAGTTCTCCTTAGTGATAACCATCAACTACATTACGTCATGGTAACTGAAAATTATCCGTGTTCGTGAACGTTACATCCGTATCACTCATACGTTGTCACTCCAAAACTATTATCTCTTATCCTACAAATTCACTGCCTAATTGCACCCTACAACCGAAACACAGCTTACAGCGCTTATTTTGTGAGTGAAATTGTTGAGACTGAGGTACCTAAAGAGGTTGATGGAAGATCGTGGCATATGGCAAACGGTTCATCCGACACAAACGCGGCTCCTACTTTAAGAAGAATAGGATGAGGTGGCCTTGCTGCCGTCTTTTACAGTCTACCTTTAGAAAATATGTCTGGTATCTAACGTTCTTTAGTCTGGTTATATAATTACGATTATGATTATTGCACATATTATAATCATAATGATAATTATATAACCAAATTTCTAATAATATTTTATTAAAATCTAGAGTGTCATCGCGGTTTGAAGGTGTCTACTAATGTCTAGTTTGGAAAAGACACTGTGACTCATATACTCGTAGTTAATATTTGGATATTCATCGTTATTCGTGGTATTTTTTGATAATAACTTGATTATAACCTGACATGGTTTCAATTCGACGAAAATTAATTAAAATCAGATAAAAAACACACGTCGCCATATTAAGTCCAACTGCAATTTTATCTATAACTTCTCAAGGTCTTATATTTATTATGATTTTTTAATAACGAAATAATATTAGGTACTTTATGGATCTTCACTTCACTCATTTATCTATATCTTTACATAGTATAAAACAAGGTAACTCCCGCTGTCTATACATTTACATATTTCAAGCTTTGCTATGGATTTTAATAAAATTTTCAGCAAAGTATAGTGTGAATCAAGGGGAAGGTGTATAATATATACACGCGTGAGAAGCCAGGGCGGCAGCTAGTAAATAATGTTAGTCTATTTAATCTCTTTGTGTTAATCTTAATTAAGTAGTATCTTCCTATAAATCTTTCATTTATACTTAATATTTTTTATTTCATATAACATAAAATTGTAAATTTTGCATATAATCTAATTATACGACGACCTCGGTCTAGCACACCGCTTTACGACCGATGGTCGCGGATTCGATTCCTGTCACGGCACATTTGTATTCATGAGTATGATTGTTTGTATCGGTCTGGGTGTTTTCTATGTATAATATGTGATTATTTACAAAAAAAATCTATGTACATGTATCAGTTATTGGTACTAGACCCATAACACAAGTTTTAGCTAGCTTAACTTGGGACTACATGGTGCTGTGTAAATTATCCTGAGATTATTATTATATAACTCAAAGGTGACTGACTGACATAGTGATCTATCAAGGCACAGCACAAACCACTGGACGGATCGGGCCGATATTTGGCATGCAGATAGATGTTATGACGTAGGCATCTGCTAAGAAAGGATTTTGATTAATTCCACCCCCAAGGGGATAAGCTAGGGGACGAAAGTTTGTATAAATCTTATTAGATTTTCGACTGATTGAACTGAAATTAAAGATTGGAGCTATGATGAAGACGTTCACTTAAATAGGATTTTGTTAAATTCAACCCCCATGGGGATAAAATAAGTGATGATGCAGGATGTAAATGTATTACTTAAACCTATCAGTACTAATGGAACGAATAAATTAAGATGAACAAAATAATTTTTAGTTCTTTAGGCTACTTTTATTTTAGAAAAATAAAGTTATATTCCACGCGAAGTCACGGGAACAGCTAGTTAATCATATAGAAGTCTAAATGTCTATCAGTTTATTATCTTTTCACCATTTAGCGGCTGAATGAATCTTTATGAAATTTGGTGTGACGGTAGATTGTATCACGAAGACAGACATAGGTGACCTATTATATAAAAAAAAGTGAAATCATGAGAATTGAAAACGAAGAAAAATTATAGTGTAATACTACCTACCTACTGCAACTTTGTGTACTTTCCGTTTTAGTATAAATGACTTACTGAATTTCAATACTCCGCCGAAAATATCTGTAGAATTTTCAACAATAGTTGTGCTGCAATTCCAGCGGCTGTGCCGAAACTGATGCTGACACTCCTCCACGGCCTGTAGCGCACCAGTTTGGAGAACCTGGAATGATAATTGGATTCATGTCATTATTTAAATTAGATTACAGAGTCATACAGCGCCAGCTAGTGTTCAAACTACTATGAGTAGACTTTGTAAAAAGTCGTTTGTGTAGGTGTTTCAGTATCACTCAGCGCCATCTAGCGCCCAAACTAAATGAGTTGACTTTGTAAAACTTCGTTAGCGTAGGTATATCAGTATTACCCAGCGCCATCTAGCGCACAAACTAAATGAGTGGACTTTGTAAAAATTCGTCTCAATCTCATTGATCACATCTCAATGTCACCTCTTTTTCCCGCCGTGTAAATTACTTTGTAATCTATGTTAAATGATGAGATAAGACATCTTAGTCCTCAGGAATGACAGTCACATAATAGTGTGATGTCTGTAGTACTTTCATGGAATAGGTGATAGTTACCATTTACCATCAGTTGAACATCTTGTTTGCCGTTTTAATATAAAAAAGATTGCCCTAGATACTAGACTAGAAAGGAATTATTTTTGTTATATTTGTATGTTTTGTTTATTTGTATTAATAATATATAAACAACAGTGTGTTTGTCTGTCACTGTCTGTCTGTATCTCAATCTCAATATAATTAATTCACATAGGACCTTTCGGCCTTTATGCACGTCTTAATTTTAATTACTATCCCTACCTTTTCCCGAACAATTTTATGCTATTGGCCGCAGCTGGCTTTTACAGCTTCATCGAACGAGTCAATCAGGAGGCCGGATATAGGTAATCTTTTATCTTTAAAAATAATCTCGAACGTGTGAAATTGGAGATGAAAGTTTGTGCAGACGATGTCACGTGTAAGAAAATTATTAACAAATTAAACAACAAAATATAAAGACACGGATTTCTTTTTAAGAGTAATTAAAAATAGTAATAAATTGTTTAATTAAGTTTATTCTTATGTCATTACACTAAAATCAGAACAAGAGTCTATTAAATAAAGTTGAAAACACGGGACTATATTACGTCTATACAACGTAGAAATGTGTTTTGACGAAACTGCGTTAGATGTTTATTTCTCCAGGAGACCTGTAAAAGAAACGACCGTACCGAGTATCCGTAGGTACTAGTTACTAAACCAATCAGTAACTGCTACAACAAATTTTTGTAACTTGGCACGGTCTTGTTTCTTGAACCCCAAATATTTGACCGCAACTATACTTTTTATTAATAGCCAAAATTTTTTAATGTATCTATTTTTTAAATATGCGAGTAGATAAATATATTATTTAATGTTAGTTAATTCATTTTCTAAAATATTAATTGTCGCCATATATTCTTCCATCTATATTTAAAGTTTCTATTTTTACAATAGGCTATATTTATTTTTCAACGCAGTTATAATTTATTTGCATTATACGAACGCAATAGAGATCCATGTGTACGTTCTATAAGTATATACTTATATATTTATATCGATTCTCAATCGTTAAAGGTACATTTTATGACAGTACCGAGTTAAACGTTTAAGATAATTAAATACATTTTAAGTACTGAAATCAAATTGTTATTAACAAGCGACGGTTTTAAAGTAGGTACGATACCGGTTTATTGTGAGCTATAAAAGGGAATATAGTGACTGTTTTACACGGTATCATTACAAAATTAAGATATCCCTTAGTTTTTACAGAAACTCGCAAATAAAAATAGGGCAATAGGTAATAGGTACATCATAGAGAGGGGATTGATAGTAGTGGAACCTTAACCATGAACCCATAATCAAGTCTCCGTAAGGACCAATCTGTTAATATCAATGGACCATGTCAGGTGGATTCCGTAGCTAGTTTATTCCAAGGAAAATTCAATCTATACTCATAGGGCAGATGGGGCCACTATTTCACCGCCTTTACACCATTAAGTATTACTGTATTTTAAAAAAGAAACACATTGGCTGATTTCCATATTTTTTATAATGATTTCGTGCTATTTATTTCTCTAAATGCATTGGTTTCTATAGTTTCAATAGGTACGTATATTTCATCTATTATATTCTTATATAACTAATACAATTGTATGTGTTAGTTTTATAAAAACATATTAGATAGCACCGTATGGATATTTTATTTATTGTTGGCGTATCATTTATTATCAATAGATGGTACCACTATCTAATAAATATGCTTTTGCATATACTATCCAAATGAATATTTAACGTAAAGGTATATTTTATTAAAAGCCATATTCTGTGGTTTTTAGTCTATGTCTTGAAAGAGAAAGAAGAAAGCTGCTAATTTAAGAAATAATTTAACAAATTGCAAAGAAGGTACATTTCGAATACTTTACATTTTAAATAAAAACCGCACTATAATGGAGCTATTATTTTAGAAGTTACAATACCACAGACAAATAATTAATCAGACATGTAAATCTTATACCACCTTCTTCTTAGTGTCGATAGTTAATAATACAGACCTGTATCATTTTGTCAGAGAGTAAACACAATTGTTTCTGCCTCTCGACCAGGTACTCTAGTCTGTGGCAGTTCTCCTTGTGCAACGCCGTGATGATATCTAGGGATGAGTTGTTATTACCCTGGATGGGTCGGACGGCTGCTAAATTCCTGAAACAAAATAAACATGACATAAAAAATATATACCTAAATATGATTAAACTAAAAACAACTATTAATAAAAATTACACATATAATGATATAAAAAAGGAAATTAACTTATAAGATTTAATTTTTAAAGTAAAATATCCAATATTTATTTAGTTCTAAATTAATTGAACACACAAAATATTGAAAATACATGTTTAAATTATATCAGGTACATTTTTTTAGTCTTATTAAGGTATTTTTTCATAATATTATATGGCAGTCCCACAGTACCTAATATTATAATCTTCTACAATCTGTTTCTATACAATGAACATAAAAATTTTGCTGGCGATGATACAGGATCAGATAATAATCAGTGGTACATACCAACATCAAGCAGGTTTATTCGAAAGTATTTATATACATAAGCTTAGGGGGCCATCTATACATTACGTTACACCAATTTAAGTAATACCTCCCCCCCCTCTCTCTTTCTCCCCTCACCTCACCAAATATATCCACCACCAAAAGTAAGATGCCTCCATAAAGATTTAAATTAATGAATAAATTAAAGATTTAAAGATTTAATTTAATCAAATTGATTAAATTAGAATCAAGACTAAAATATTTAGGTTATTCTACACCGACTTTTACCTTAGATCCAAATAAACCCGCATAAATTTATTAAAAGACAACAACTCATAAAATATGCAACAGCTATAATGATATTATGCAATCGAGAAGTTTGAAAACAAAGCCCTCATCGACCATCATGGATGTAAACAGGATCCCTTCCCCCATTTAAACAAGATGAATGCGCTTCCCCGATGCCGCAGCCTCCTCCACGTGCAACACTCAAGGTCCCACAACCCTTTACACATCCTCTCATGCCTGCAATTAAAACGAAAAACCGAGCGAAACAAAAATATACAAAAGCAATGCGCCAGTAAAGGGTAGAATACCTCATTTACCCAAGCACTTTTTATTTCCACTTGCACTCAGGTCGTCGGCCAATCAACGTACTGTACCGCGCCCGTTCTCATTGGCCGCATTGAATAGAGAATATATTTTTTCAAAAATGGAACAAAAGCTAAGGGTAGGTAATAGCGAGTTTTATTTTCAAGAGGCATTTTCTCATTTGAGTGGTGAACCCAGTACGGGACGGACGTCTCGACCGTTAATTACCTTACTAAAGTATTGTTACTTGAGGGTACTTCATTTCAAAGCATTATATTTAACATTGTTATTTTATTACAGAACTCGTTCCCCGTACTTCAGCTGAGTACGGATTACAAAACAAGCAAATTAACGTTGTTTATTCCTCTTCAACAAATAATCATGTCTTCACAATACAATTTACAAAGAATTTACGTAATATGAGTGCATAATAGCGAGTAAAATGCTTGTAGGCATTATACTCGCTATACACAGTCATTTTAGTTATTAAAAAAACTAGGGTTTACCCAATGTTTGTCTATGTTATATACAACCGGTTTCGCAGGGTTAGTACAACTTTATATTACCTACCAAAATTACCTAAACTTTCATCAGGAATTTCACTATTGATTTCTGAATACCGTATGAAAATCCATGCACTAATTTTTTAAAATAACCTGAATATATAATACATACTGATGCGACTGAAGAATTTTATTTATGATATGTATAGTTATGAATTAATGTAGGTGCTGATTGAATAATTTTTATTCGAAAACATCTGTAAAAATAGTAATAAATTATTAAATTACATATTACTTATTTTAATAATGTAATAAATTATTTTGTCAAATGTATGCAAACATTCAATATAATTGACAAAATAATTTATGACGCTGGGACGGGTTGGCGTGTTAGAAGAAAGAATTTGTTACATTTGATAGGTGCTTTCGCTTGTCCGTGAATGCTTATAATAAACGTTCAAACATTGTTTACATTGTTGATTTATCATCATTTAAATTTTAACATTAATCATAGTTTCATTAATATGCGGCTAGATATTTAGATGTTCTGAAATCTTAAAGTAACCCAAACTTATTGTAACGCTGTTGGTTTCTAATAAATAAATAAATAAATAAAAAATAACCATTCGTCCTTCTTTGGGCGGGATGGTTTTGCTTTTGTGCTGTCTATACTGCTGTTTCCAGTTACAGCAATAATGGAAAAAAGAGAGGTTTGAGCATGAGCATTACTACAAAAACAAGATTGGGTAAAAACAAAAAGAATAACACATAGGTTATTTTTATAACATTAAAAATATACTGCTTTCATAACTATGTATTTTAAGGGGTCGCACTTCAACAAGAAAAATAGGTAAGTCATCTAAACTAGACTGAATATATTATATAAATAATAATAACATGTTTTGAGGATAAAGTCATGCACATTATCCCCAAAACGTGTTAAGGTTTCATAAAGTGTGTGGCACTTTAACCTATATTTTCGAATAAAAAATACTAAATAGGTTTATAAATCAAAATATTCCATATTACTAAATATAATAAAAAAACCTAATTGGAATTCCTAACCTAATTGGGAATTCCTTACTTTGAAGTCGGTTTAAATAAATAATAGATTTCTAAAAATTCTCCAGTAACTAATCACAGTGGCTTCTAGGAGAGACCGTGTGGAGGTTGACCTGATAGGGTAAATAACTACATTGCTGGCAATAGAGCGACTACCTTCCTTTTAAAATGTTATTGGATTAAATTATTCTCTGTGTTTCCATCACTGAAGATTACATCAGTTCTATAAATTGACACTTAACTGTTTTGTATTTGCCAGCCTCGAATTCACGGCTCTAGGAGTCCATGTCTGGGTAGTAAACCACTGAGCAACAATGCTTATAAAACTAGTTTAAGAATTCTATTTAATTTGGATTTCAACAAACACAGTTATAGCATCTTTGTAACATTGCGTCATATAGAATAACATGTTTGTTTTGTTAAATAAAAAATTTTGTAATGTTATGACAGGACTTCGAGAGTCGAATGCTTAGTCTGAAATGTATTGAAACTTTGATTATTTAAATGCGTCATGCGCTTGTTTAAAATTATGTTTATGTTTTGCCGAAGTAGACTTTGTGCAAACAGTGATATATGATACATTTTAGGCGCCATGCGGCTGCCGTCGCTTATATACGTGAACAGCACATAGACATATAGTCATTATGTGATATCTTATATTAAAATTCATGACGGCTTAAATAGGTAAGAAAACTAAAAATATTTCTACTAAACTATTAAATAGGTAAGAAAACTAATCACTTGTCACGCTGTTTCTACTAAGAAATTATTAAAATCATAACATTCATTCATTATCGGCAGACCCCTTCCTTAATTTAAAAACTGCCTATAATACTATGTTTATCAATCCTATTTCAGCCAACAAGCAGCTTACTTTTTACACTGTGTTTTGAAGGGTTAGATTTGGCGGATTATTTCACAGTATAGTTCTATGTGGCAAAAAGTACTCTGGAAAACGCACGGAGGAGTTCCGCCATTCATCAAAATCATCTGCTGGTTAATTAGTGAATTACAAAATATGTGCTGCTAGCTAGCCGCCCCGGCTTCATACGGATGTACATGTATTACACGTTTAAACCTTCCTCTTGAATCACTCTATCTATTTTTAAAAACTACGTTAAAATCTGTAGCGTCCATCAAAATATCTAGACAAATAGACAACGAAAGCGACTACGTTTTATATAAAGATTAATTACCATGTACAGATATGTAAAGCCCGGTAACTTCAGTGCAACAATAAATAAATAAATAAGAAAGTACAGTATAAATATTAGTGTTGCGTGTTTAAAGTAATCTAGTATCCAACTTGACTAATAGTGTTGCCAGTATAACTCCTTCAGTATCCCATTCAACGCTATAGGCGCCATTTCCGGTCGTTTATATATTCGCGTTTTGCTATACCAGAAATTATAGTTTATATGCTAACATTAGGTACCTATTTATTTACTGCAGTCCTACAACGGTCTATATGTATATATGAAAAAATATTATGATATTTGAATTTGAGGCCATATAAAAAAATGTGCTTAGAAGACCAAGAAATTATAATGAAACTTGATATACAACATATGTGAACGTATTAATTTTTTTTTTATTCAAGTCAAGTTACATAGATATAAAATGCCACACAAAGTTTTATTTTTTATTTTCAACCATAATCAAATTCAAGATCCTTGAGGTCTATAATTTACTAAATGACCCGCGCAAACTTATCTGAGTCACTTTTGATGCACCCCTCCTTATGGTCGTAGCGTTATATTATGTAGCATATGACTTCGTCTATAAATGGCATCCCTCAACCAACCAAACTCTAAGTTTTACTTTATTAGAATAGATAATTAAGTATTAAACCATTAGGATGCAGAGTTATTAATTGAAATGTTAGGTTTTAATGTATATTTTAATACACTTTTTAAATTTCAAATTACTTAGTTTGTTTAGTTTGTTCATTACACGCTTATTAATTAGTTATGATGTTCTTTCATACAGAAAAATAAACAAAAGATAATTAATATTATTTATAAATATCAACTTTTCAAACATTCCGTTAAGCCTTAGAATAACTTGGTAAGCCATTTACACACGAGCGGTCCGACGACTATTTGAGGTAAGGCAATTACTCAAAAATTTCGAGTCAATATTGACACGGTTGTTAAGGGCCGCCTTATCATGAGACGGATTTGTTTGCAGTATGGATGCGGTAATTGATACGTTTATGTAAATACGTAGTGGATTGCTAAGTGAAAATTATCAATACTCACACATTTACGGAATGTACATAACATATTAGAAACACTGATTTGGTCCGTGTAATATATTTGGTTATATTAACCTAAGTATTCGTAAATGGCCAATTTGTCTAACTCTCTCATAAATTTTATACAAATAAAAATAATTATTTTATTCTAATAGAATATGTTATGTGAATAGGTACTGTGTTTTGTGGTGTTTTGTAAATACACGTTGACTTTTATAAATAATCTAAACAATCCACTTATT